AATAGAGGAGTGAAGTTCTGAAACAGTCCTCCAAGAGGAGCAGTGGGGGCAAAAATCCTAACTTGCTTCAAGACTGACCTTGATAAGTTTATGGAGGGCATGGTCTGATGGGACTGCCTACAATGGCATGTGGCCCATCGGCGACTGCCAGTAGCAAAAATCCCCAACAGCTGGAGATGGGACACTAAATGTGGAGGGCTCTGAGTTACTACACAGAATTCTTTCCTAGGTGTCTGGCTGGTGGGTCTTGCCTACGTGCTCAGCAGTCTAACTGATCGCCATATTTGTGGTTGGGAAGGAATTTTCCCCCAGGTCAGATTGGCAGAGACCCTGGGTTTTTTGGCCTTCCACTGCAGCGTGGGACTAGGATCCCCTACGGACGAATGGCTAGGCAGCAGTTCTGCAGAAAAGGACCTAGGGGTTACAGTGGACGAGAAGCTGGACATAGTCAACAGTGTGCCCTTGTTGCCAAGAGGGCCAATGGCATTTTGGGATGTATAAGTAGGGGCATTGCCAGCAGATCAAGGGACGTGATCATTCCCCTCTATTCGACATTGGTGAGGCCTCCTCTGGAGCACTGTGTCCAGTTTTGGGCCCCACACTACAAGAAGGATGTGAAAAAATTGGAAAATGTCCAGCGGAGGGCAACAAAAATGATTAGGGGACTGGAACACATGACTTATGAGGAGAGGCTGTGGGAACTGGGATTGTTTAGTCTGTGGAAAAGAAGAATGAGGGGGTATTTGATAGCTGCTTTCAACTACCTGAAAGGGGGTTCCAAAGAGGATGGATCTAGACTGTTCTCAGTGGTAGCAGATGACAGAACAAGGAGTAATGGTCTCAAGTTGCAGTGGGGGAGGTTTAGGTTGGATATTAGGAAAAACTTTTTCACTAGGAGGGTGGTGAAGCACTGGAATGGGTTACCTAGGGAGGTGGTGGAATCTCCTTCCTTAGAAGTTTTTAAGGCCAGGCTTGACAAAGCCCTGGCTGGGATGATTTAGTTGGGGATTGGTCCCGCTTTGAGCAGCAGGTTGGACTAGATGACCTCCTGAGGTCCCTTCCAACCCTGATATTCTATGGGGCGCAGGACACTTGCACGTTTAAAATAGTGTAGATGGTGAATTCTCTGTAACTTGACGTCTTTAAATCATGATTTCAGGACTTCATTAACTCAGCCAGAGGTCAGGAGTCTTTTACAGGAGTGAGTGGGTGAGGTTCTGTGCTCTGCAAAGGAGGTCAGACTAGATGATCATGATGGCCTGACTGAGCTTTTGGTACAGTAATTTCTCGCTTAACTTCGTAATTATGTTCCTGAAAAATGCTACTTAAGTGAAATGATGTTAAGCAAATCCAATTTTCCCATAAGAATTAATGTAAATGTTGGGGTTAGGTTACAGGGAATGTTTTTTCTCCAGACAAAATACTTATATATACACACACAGTATAAGTTTTAAACAATTTAATACTGTACACATCAATGGTGATTGTGAAGCTTGGCTGAGGTGGTGGAGTTAGAGGGTGGGGTATTTCCCAGGGAATGCCTTACTGCTAAATGATGAACTAGCACTGGGCTGAGCCCTCAAGAGTTAGCACATTCTTGTTAATGTAGCCTCACGCTCTACAAGGCAGCACGAATGGAGGGAGGAGACACAGCATGGCAGAGCAAGATGGAGACGCAGCCCGTGTGTGTGTGTGAGTGAGAGAGAGACACACAGGTGTGTGTGTGAAAGAAAGAGAGAGATGCACATTGTCTCTTCAAGTTGAGACAGCAGCTGCTGCCAGAAAGTTCCCTCTGTCCTGAGCCCTGTCGAGTTTCCCCTGCCGCCCCCGCTCTGTGGAGATGGGGTATAGGAGCGGAAGGAGGGGGACACCCTGTCAATAGCACCCCTCTTACCATCCTCCTCTGCCCAGCAAGCAGGAGGCTCCTTGGAGCAGCTCCAAGGCAGAGGGCAGGAGCAGCAGACGGCAGTGGGGGATGGGACAGCTGAACTGCCAGGCAATTGATAGCCTGCTGGGTGGCTGCCACACAGGGAACTTAGGGGAGCTGATGTCCACTCTGGTTCCAAGCCCCCACCAGCTAGCTCCAACGGGCTGCTCTTTCTGCAAGCAGTGGACAAAGCACAGTGGTGGCTGCCAAACAACGTTATAAGGGAGCATTGCACAACTTTAAACGAGCATGTTCTCTAATGGATCAGCAACGTAACAACTAAACAACATTAACCGGGATGACATTAAATGAGGAGTTACCGTACATGTTTTCAGTTAGGTTTTCCTACAATCTGTCATTGCTGAGGAAAGATGTAACTTAGCTTATAGGCTGATGGTTTTCACATGACTCCACTCCCATGGAGCTCTGTGTGTAGTATATTCCATTTTGAAAAAATGTGAAAGAATGATAGGAAGGCTGCAAAGTCAAGCACTCAAAAGTTAGAAAATATCAGTTTTCATGTAGTCAGTGCAATCTTAATTCTGCTCCTTGTTCATTATGGCAATCTAATTACATCATGAACCCCTGTCTCTTTCAAGGCACAGGATGTACTGTGCTTAGCAAAGGAGGCAGCTGTTAACGATTTATCTTTGTCCTCAACATTCAGTGTGTGGATCCCATGCCTTATTTACTTCACACCATCCAAATGCTGCAATGAATCTGACATTGATTTTTTTCATGAACTTTTCTGTGGTGCCCATTAGCGTGGCCACCTGAGTGCCTCCTACACATTAATGAATTTATCATCTTAATACCTCTGAAGTAGGGGAAGTATTATCCCTCATTTTACAAATGGGAAAATGAGACATGTCATATCCTAGCAAGTGCCACTCATGAGGGCTGTTGTGAGTAAAATCCAAGTCTCTGCTGCTCTGGATTCTTAACAGGTGTTTCAGGCTTCCCTCAGTCTCAGTAGGCTGCAGCCCTGTTTCCTCCTTTGGCTCCTCTGGCACATTTCCTGGGTACAGGCTCAGTCTGCTATGCTTTCATGGAAAGGGAGCATCTCAGCTCATCTGCCCTAGACCCCCAGGATGAATGCTGGCCCCTGAGATAACCCAGTTACTTAAACATACCCTTCTCCAAGGACTCCACCCAAAAGATGTGAAGTTTCTAGTTACATTTTAACTCTCAGGAATGTGCAGCAGTTGTGAAACAGTGAACACACACACATACACTGCACAGGGTGTAATACATTTATGCTCTTTACTTAATCATGTAAAGCACCGGAGAATACAGATCATACAAAATAATAAACATCTGAAACCACAATATTCCTCACTAGCTCTCCCTTCCTTTGTGAGCCCTTGGGGAACCATGCGGGTCCAGAAGGCAACAGGCTTTCTAGAAGGCCCCTCCACAGACTATCCATATGCAACAGCCTGCATTTCTCTTGTATACCCAGCTTGTGCAACCGTCCTCATTCCCCAGGCTTCCTCTTCCAGTCACACTCTTTGTTCCTGTGTGTGTATGTTTAAACCCTTCCTGGTCTTCTGGCCTGTTCTTCTCCTGGTAAGTTTGCACTGCTTCTCCCTTCCCCTTCCCTTCTGAGGAGTCAGCTAACATGTTTTTTCTAAGGGTGCAGCTTTCCCATTGTCCCAGGTGTTTGCACCTGAATAGGGTCATTGATAAGGCTAAGATTTAGTCATGGGTGGGTATATGTAGCAAAAGTCATGAACAGGTCACGGGCAATAAACAAAAATTCACAACCTGTGACCTGTCCATGACTTGTACTATATACCCCTGACTAAATCTTGGGTGCCCTGGAGAGGGGGCGCTGCAGGTCATCGGGGACAGGGGGCAGCCTAGGGGCACCGTGGGCGCTCAGCGGTGGCCCAGGACACTGCAGATGCTCCGGGGTAGGGGGGCGGCCTGTGCTGGGGGGTGGGAGAGGAGGGAAGGGTGGCCTGAGACTGCCCCAGTAGTGGCTAGTCAGTCACACTGGTCACTGCAGAAATCATGGAGGTCCAGGAAAGCCACAGAATCCATGACTTCTGTGAATGACTCGCAGCCTTAGTCATTGAGTCCTAAGCACTCTTCATGGAATCTGTCTTGTGTGTACCTGCTACAGGACCTGTCAGCAATGGTAGATCTACATACATATAGGACTAATAATACATCAGTTTCTTGTAATAGAACGTCACAATATCAGCCGGTTTCAGAGTAACAGCCGTGTTGGTCTGTATTCGCAAAAAGAAAAAGAGTACTTGTGGCACCTTAGAGACTAACCAATTTATTTTGAGCATAAGCTTTCATGCATTCGATGAAGTGAGCTGTAGTTCACGAAAGCTTATGCTCAAATAAATTGGTTAGTCTCTAAGGTGCCACAAGTACTCCTTTTCTTTTTACAATATCAACCAGAATTCATAAGTTGTACAGAGAGAGTCCCAATTCATCACAAGGCACAGATTCAGACCAAAATTTGCAAAAGTGTCCACCAACTTTGAGTGCCCATTTTTTGGGTGTCCAAACTCAGACACCTAGGACCTAATTTTTTTTTCCAGAGGTGCTGAGAATCTGCAGCTCCTATTGACATCAGCTGAAGTTGCAAATGCCCAGCAGTTCTGAAAAGCAGGCTCTGGCTGGATCAAGTTTTGGGCACTCAGAAAATGAGGAACACCTAATTAGTTGCTGCCTCTAAAAATGTTGGTCTAAGAGGGAAGCCTGCAGCAGAGCTAGGTAACCAGATTATTCCACTGGATATATATAAAAGGAAAATTCAGAGGAGTTCTGCAGGGAAGACATACAATACAAGGGTGCAGAAGAAGGGTGGACTGTTCTAAAACTAATATTGTTTGCCTATCTAGACTCTTAACTGGTTTACATTGTAATTCTCTCTTCTACCTCCTCCCCTCAAAATAAGTAAACAAATAAAAATGTCTGTCACAATGTCTGTTTAAAAGTGAAAGATTAAATATTCTGGGGTGTGGACAAATCTTGTGAATTTGGGTTTCAGAAGATATTACTTGAATATTATGAAATTCTGTTGTACTCACTTTTCTTTTTCTTTTCACAGTGGGAGCCGTCTAGGAGGCCTAGTTACGGTATCGTGCTACTTTTTCAATCATGGGGAGGTAGGTCTTTTAGACTTCGAAATTTTTGATTGTTTTAGACTAAATCAGGTGTGTGACTTTTCTCTTAAAAATAGAGAATGCCTGTAGTTTACATCTCAACATGTGCTTAAAGGTAAGAAAACATTATTGAAAAGAACAAAATGTAGTATTTTGAAAGTACCTCTGAATGTAAACTTTTTGTGGTATTTAAGATGCCATTATAGATAGAGCTTTTTTTCACTGAATTTCAGTTTTCATTTCCCATATACCTACGTGTGGATGAACTCTTAATAGAAATCCCCTACTTTAAACTCCTTCGTTACGAAACATCAATCTCAGTAACTAATATTGTGCACTGGTGTCATTTATCTTTCAGCTAACTATTTTTAATGAGGGAAGGTAGAACATATAAGAAATGTTGGAACCTACAAACATAAATACTATTTAGTCATTTCTTGTTTTCTTAGGTTGGCTTAGCATTCTTGGTTGGTTTTGTTCTACTAATGCCCTTAAACTGAATTTAGATGAACAGCATTCTTATTGTCTAATAATATAATCCAAGGTTTCAGGGTAGCAGCCGTGTTAGTCTGTATTCGCAAAAAGAAAAGGAGTACTTGTGGCACCTTAGAGACTAACCAATTTATTTGAGCATAAGCTTTCGTGAGCTACAGCTCACTTCATTGGATGCATAAAGTGAAAAGTACAGTGAGCAGATTTTATATATACACACAGGCCATGAAAAAATATACATTGTAAGGAGAGTGATCACTGAAGATGAGCTATTACCAATATAATCCAAGTTTATTTGAATATAATTATGAGAGCTTTCCATCAAAGTGTAGTTGGTGGTTTTTATTTGAATAATAATCTTCTGGCTTTGCTTTTCTTCCCCTTAAATATAAAAGAGATGGTATTGGAAGTGGATTGTGGAGAAATGTAGTCTGATGTATGTGTCAGGTTGAGATTTTAATTGCACAAAAATCAGGAAATTAAAAACTGATTTCCATCTCCACCCAAGAAGTAAATTGGTTACTGTATATACACTGTATATTATGCATAACTCTGTATTCAGAAGACAATACTATGTGTGAAATCCTAGCCCCAGTGAAGTCAGTGGGAAAATTCCCATTGACTTCTCAGGGGCCAGGATTTCAAACTATGTTTGCATAGTTATTGTTGCTGTAAGAATGAAAACTGTAGCTTTGAACACCATCACTGGCGCTATTAAAATGTGTCCCTAATGTTGCATTAACTTTCTTGTGCCGAACATAGTTGTTTAATGTATATTCATACGGTTGTATTATTCTATAAGGCACTTAGACCACATTTTCAAAGGTATTTAGGTGCCTAAGGATGCAGGTAGGCACCTGGTAGAATTTTCAAAAGCATGTGAGTAGGTGAGGTGCCTCACCAGCATAGGTGCTTTTGAAAATTTCACTAGGAACCTGCATCTTTAGGTACCTTAACACCTTGGAAATGTGGCTTTGACCCCTCTGGTCAGTAGACATTTCACAAATAAATGTGTTCATTCTGATGTCTAGAATATTTATTTCTCCAATTTGTAAAACTGCACCTTTCAATCTCGAGGTGCATGTACAAACCTCTAAAAATCACACTATCACTGACACAATGAGAGTGAGTTTGTTTGACTGCCACCACTGTTGCTCATCAGTATCCTTTCAGATACCTCTTCTAACAATCCCTCATAGTTTTAGAAAACACAATATATCTTTCTTAAGAAACACACAAATGGAGCAAGTTTTATATAGATTACAATATCATTTTAGTTTTTGAAAGTAGATAATGAATACTTAATAGATAATTCAGGTTCAGATAGCCACAGTTGAACTGTATTTTCTGTCAGTATACTGATGTTTAGTCTACTATAGCCTCTATCAGGCTACACATCATGTAGAAACTGTCTACGTCTATGCAGAAAAATAATGCTAAGCTTTTGAAAAAAGCTTTATTCCTTTAGAAAATAAACATGGGATTTTTTTTCCACCACTATTGTCATCTCTCTTGTGTTTTGAAAGAATAAATGATTTTAAGTGCCCTTTGGCTGTGTTTTCTGGTTTTTTACTGAGAAATGTGGTGTTCTTGGAGTGATTGCACGTATGCGTACCGCTGTAGGTGTGTGCACCCTGAGCACAGTCACCAGAGATTTTTCCCTTAGTGGTATCCATCACGGCAGCTCAAGTGTCCTCTGGTGCCGTGCGCACATAGTGCAGGTATAAAGCGGCCAGCCGATCTTACGCCCCCTCAGATCCTTCTTACTGGCCATGACAATCGCTGGGACTATTCTTGCTTCGGCAAGCTTTCTCAGTGGTCTTCCTTTTCCTATAGTTGTATATAGTTGTAAATAGTCAGTTTTTAGTCAGTTTAGTGTAGTTTGTGTATCTCATTTAGTTAGCAGAGTTTGGTCTGTTACCTGGTGCCGAGGCATGTCTGGTCGCTGGGCTTCAAGCCCTGTGCTTCCTGCAACAATGCTATATCTCCAACTGATTTGTACGCTACTTGCCTGAAGTGCTGGGGAGAGGCTCACATCAGGGACCACTGCCAGATCTGCTGGGACTTTGTCTCACACAAAGAAGGACCAGGAGGCCAGGGTGAAGTTTTTACTCATGGAGACAGTGTTGAGACCTTCCTCCAAACTGAGGAAGTCAGATTTGGCACTGAGTACCTTTTTGAACCTGTGGGGGTTTCCCCTCAATTACGGGATTGTATTCAAGATCCTGCTATTTGGTGGCCTCCGAAAGAAGAGCACTACCTCCCCATCAGGCAATACCCAATCCAGACTTGGATGCTGAACTCAGTGCTGAGTTCCACAAACTGGTTCTGCAGGACCCTCCAGTGTGGAAAGGGAGGAAGAGTGTCCTCAGCTGGTGCTGGCCACCTCCTCCTCTGTGAGGCTGTGTCAGGAGCGGGCATGTCACCTCCCCAGGATGCCTATAGGGCTCACCAAGAGGTAGTGAAGGAGTCCTCCCATAATCTGGTTGACATTTTAGTGGTGGCAGGCCCATCAGAAGTAGCCCTGCCTCTTAATGAGGCGATTTTGGACCCTGTTAAAGCCCTGTGGCAGACTCCTGCTTCCCTTCCCCCCACATTAAAAAGAGCTGAATAGAAATATTTGTGCCTGCCCATAGCTGTGAGTTCTTGTGCACTCATCTTCCCCCTCCGCACCCGGCTCCCTGGTGGTACCCGCTGCCAATGGAAGAGAAAGGCAGGGTCATCAAGGTACAACACCAAAAGCAAAGGACCCCAAGAAATTGGATTTATTTGGTAAGAAAGGTTTATTCTACTGGGGGGGTTGCAGCTCTAGGATTGCAAACCAGGAGGCCTGCTGGCCAGATATGACTTCAAGATGTGCAACACATCTTGAAGAACAGCAGGTACGGAAGGTTAGTAATTGTTTTTTGCCTGAGTTACCTTTGTGTCTTGTTGTTCAGATTGAATCTAGTTGCCATATGGCTCCATCCTGAGTTGAAACTAGTTTTGCCTTTTCCAGTTTGCTCAGCTGAGCTTGGTAAAGGTCTTTGAATATGTTCAACTACATTTAATTTCATTAGCGCTTCTTTAACTACTTGATAATGGATGTCAGATCTTATTGAAACAGTCTTGGTTTTTAAGATTAATTAACCTGAGGAGCTAAATGGCTAATACAATATCTTTCAAGTGGAAGTTCAAAAATAATTATTCTCTGAAGATACCATTTGTGCAGGATTCTCACTTGTGTGGGACAGGCACAACTTCTCAAGTTCTAAAAATGTCTGATTCCTAAGGGTAGCAGACAGGTATAAATGTGCTGCACCCCACCATGCAAGTTAACCATTGTCCTTTGACTTTTCCAATTAGTTCCTTCTACAGAGGTACACACAGAAATTTTTCACATAGTTCATAAAACCAAACCCCTTTGTGTCTGCCCCATCCAGGCCTCCCCACCACTCTTCTCCTGGCCAGCTCTCCTATGTGGGCACTCACCACATCTCCCTGTACTAGCAGATCTTGAGGCTGTCACTAGTGAGTCCTGCAGGCAGAGCAGAGGGGACACAGCCGCTGGAAGTGGGACAAGGCTAAGCAGGCCCCTGGCGGGGGAGCCCTGATGCAGGAGCCAGTCCCATGGCTGTAGTGAGGAGGAGCAGTGCTGGTTGCTCCACTGCCTACTCAGTTTTGGCCCTGAGGCCCGTCTGTCATGATAGAGGAGCCATGGGTCAAACCTCAGTGGTGCTGTGACCCCCATGCACCAGATTGCAATGCTGCTCACTCAGTATTGGTCCGATAGTCTGCCTCCCTGTCATGACAGGGGCTGCAGGGCCAAACCTGAGTGGGCATTGAGACAGCCAACACTGCTCCTTCTTGCTGCTGCAGTGGGCCTGGCTTCGGTGCCAGGGCTCCCCACTGGCACCTTGCCCAGCCGCACCTTCCAGCAGCCTGAGCCCTGGGTGCCCTGCCAATGGTATGCACCGTGTGTGACATGCATACAGCTGTGGGCATCACTGTCCTTGACCACAGATTAACACTGTTATAGCTTCAACAAAATGCTAAACTAGTCACATACGTGTGTGTGTGTGTGGTGTCTGCGTGTTATATCAAATAACTTTTGGCATAAAATAAAATATTAATATGCTGCTTTGGGCTATCTTGAAAAAGAAACATTTACCGTACAGCGATATTACATTTCAAGCATAGGAAAATGGCATAACTCATGGTAAAGTCAATATAGCAATAAGGTAAATGCTCCCTTTTTTTGGTTGCTCATCCTATGTATCACTCTTTGCTTTTACAGCTTTTTTCCTTTTTCCTTTCTATATCTTGCAGGTTAGGTACATTTTAAGTGTGGCTGTACTCTGAAAAATAACTAAAAAATGAAAGCACTTAACAGTATTTGTGCTTTTAACATAATATCTACTTACTTCACCAAAAAATAAGCATTTACATGTTTGTGCTGCAGAGCCAATACAGCTGAGCATGAGCGTGATTCAGTTCCTGCTTGCTAATTCTTAAAAGAATTGTTTACTAAGTTCCAGTTGATTACACCTGTTAAAAATCATTTGAAGACTAATGGGGTTATACAGATATTACTGAGGGTTTAATTTGAAGGTAATCTGGATGAATAGTTGTAAACTGGGGAAATAATTTGCTCTAAAGATCCTTTTTATTACTTTGGTGATACAAGAGTAAGAGAAAATCCAGGCTGACCCTGATCAGGAGTTGTTTGCATGGCTGACAGTTAAAATAAATAAAAGGGCGAGAAAAAAATAAATCTGTCAGTTGAACACATTTGATTTGGAAATTAAGGACAAACATGGAGCAGCACAGTATTGTGTTTAGTCACTATGCTGAGTGAAACTGCACTTTAAAATGTTTTTCTTTTCTTCATATCTTTTCAATAAACTGTTTCTTATTTTCTAGTTTTGCCTCCGTTTCAACAGCTTGTTCCTATCACTCCATCTGTGTGTGGTTCCTTTTTTCAGCTGATGTTTTAATATTTCATAATCATGTTCATTCCTTAAATCTGGGTTTTGTTCTCTTCCCTTGATTAAACCACTTCCTCTGTTTAAATTCTCTACCTCTCTCCTTCCTCCTTTGTACAGCATCTGTCCCTTGAACTCTGTGTCTTCCTGTCTTGCGTGTTAGCAGGGGACATCTAACAACTTAAATTTGTTCCTCCACATTCTGCCAAGTTTGAGCTGCCTTTGGGCTCGTACTCTGTTTCACTGTTTTCTCTGATATTGGGAATTGCTGCTGTGTGAGAGCACAGCATATTCAGCACTAATTGGCCTCTTAAGTATGATTGGAAAGTAATATGTCAAATTTAGGCGGGAGCTTAGGCCCTTGTTGGTTGTGATACACATACTCTTGCTGCAGATTAAATACTACCATACTCTGTGCAGTCTAATCAGTTATTAATCAAGACAGACATAGATGGGGGTAGAGAGAAAATATTGCTGATACCTAAGAATAAAAGTCCATAGAAACCCTTTGATTGCTACCAGCAGTTCCTCAGTAAAAGTCTCGGTACTAGTAAAAGTCCAGCAAAGTCATTCCCCATCCATTGCCACAGTAAATGCATACAAAGGAGAAATGTTTGTTCAAGATTACTTTTAAAAATGTTGGATGGGAAAATACATACCTGATAGGTTTAATTACCGACAGACAGCTTTCTTCTAGCTTTGCTTGTATATTTCATGTAGTTATTAAAAGGTTTTATATTTAGACACTGTATTGAATTTGTAGTACATCTTACAGCAGGTTCTTTTCAAACAAAATTTTCTCACACAGTTAAATTGCTAATGTATAGGAAGGAATGTCTTTCAAAAGTTGAAGTAACGTGAAGCCTGTTGTGTATAATTGCACAATAACATGAATTTGAAATGGAAAAATGCTGCAAAGAAATATTCAAGTTATATAAAGTTTTAGTTAACTCCTGGGTGGAATTGAATTTTGAAAACCAAGGATCTCATTTCTGCAAATCCTTGTGTAGGACTGAGCCTAAAGGCTCAATCTAGCCCATATGCGGTGGCACAGCTACATGCTTTGCTACCCCAAAAGCATTCTGGGAAGAAATTGTGGTTCAATCACAATTGGTTTGCCTTCTCATCATTTGCTCAGCGATGTGGGGGAGTAATTTACAGCAGCCATGTAACAGGTACACTTAGTTTCAGCTGCTCAATGTTACTGGCTTGTGTGTTGGTGAACAGAGCCAAGTTTCTGTACATTCCACACAGCTGTTGGGTGCACAGTCTCTGCTTTCTTCTCTCCATGCTTAAACCGCAGTGTGGGAGACCTAACAAAGGCACACAAGTGTGTTGGCTTTTCCCTCACGCTGCTCCCCTTATGTGTACTCTTATGTGTAACTGCATTAGCTAGTCACAATCTTGCTGTTTGAGTAGTCCTTATTCACATGCATAATTCATTGATTTCAGCGAAGACTGTTTTTGTAAATAAGGGATTGCAAGATAGGAGAACCTGTGCTACTTTGGCATCTTTGTTCTTGGTGGACAAAACTGCTCCCAAGCTGTCAGATTTTTGTTATTGCAAGAGTAAGATATTGTTCTTGCTTTAGTTCTCTCATGTCAAGAGGAGGAGCCAGTAGTAGTGGTTAAACCCCCCAAACCCTCGCCCCCAACCGTTAGAGACCCGAAGCTGCATCTTCACTCAAGCATGCATGCTCCTTCCTTCCATCTCTTGTGTTTTGTCTTGTGACACACTATTTTATTGACTTATGACTGAGTCTTCATCTAGTTTTTTTGTACTATTTCAGTTTCCGTAGTTGATCATTTTAAATCATAAATGCATTGCTTTGTGGGGAAAAATGAAAATGTAGCAGAACATACTATGAACTAATTTAATTCTTATTTTCAGTGCACACGTGTGATGTGGACTCCACCCCTCCGTGAAAGTTTCTCATACCCATTCCTTGTGCTTCAGATGTTGCTTTTGACCTACATTCTCAGGTACCAAGTATCAGAGGGGTAGCCGTGTTAGTCTGTATCTACAAAAACAACACGGAGTCTGGTGGCACCTTAAAGACTAACAGATTTATTTGGGCATAAGATTTTATGGGTATAAAAACCCACTTCTTCAGATGCATGGAGTGAAAATTACAGATACAGGCATAAATATATATTGGCACATGAAGAGAAGGGAAGGGAATTACCTTACAAGTGGAGAACCAATGTTGAAGGCCAATTTAGTCAGGGTGGATGTAGTCCACTCCCAATAATTGATGAGGAGGACCCCACCACACCAGCCACACCATCAGAGGCTCATTCATTTGTACATCTACTAATGTGATATATGACATTGTGTGCCAGCAATGCCCCTCTGCCGTGTACATTGGCCAGATCGGACAGTCTCTACATAAAAGGATGAATGGACACAAATCAGACATCAGGAATGGTAACATACACAAGCCAGTAGGAGGACACTTCAATCTCCCTAGACACTCAATAACAGATTTAAAAGTAGCCATACTTCAACAAAAAAAACCCCTTCAAAACCAGATTTCAAAGAGAAACTGCTGAACTACAATTCATTTGCAAACTTAACACCGTCAATTTGGGCTTGAATATGGACTGGAAATGGTTGGCTCACTATAAAAGCAATTTTCCCTCTCTTCATATTGACACCTCCTCATCAATTATTGGGAGTGGACTACATCCATCCTGACTAAGGGCTTGTCTACCTTGGCAATTTACAGCACTGAAACTTTCTCGCTGAGGGGTGTGAAAAAACACTCCCCTGAGTGCAGCAAGTTGCAGCGCTGCAAAGCGCCAATGTAGACAGTGCACAAGCGCTGGGAGCCACACCTCGCGTGTGTGTGTGTGGTTTTTTTTAGAGCGCTGGGAGAGCTCTCTCTCAGTGCTGCACTGTGACCACACAAGGCATGTTAAAGTGCTGCCAGTGTAGACTAGCCCTGCATTGGCCTTCAGCACTGGTTCTCCACTTGTAACTCCCTTCTCTTCATGTGCCAATATACATTTATGCCTGTATCTGTAATTTTCTCTCCATTCATCTGAAGAAGTGGGGTTTTTTTTTACCCACGAAAGCTTATGCCCAAATAAATCTGTTAGTCTTTAAGGTGCCACCGGACTCCTCGTTATTCTCAGGTAGCTTCCAATTTATGTGTGGTTATTAAGAGTGAAGAGTTAAAAAACAGAATCCCTGAGACCGTGCATTCATTTATAGGCTATGGTCTTGTACGTACTAGTTTTTTCCCCTCAGACATTAGCCATTATTGCTAACGCTAATGGGTCTCCACCATTGGTAGCAGAGGTGATACTACTGGTGTAGACCAGGCTCCCATGATCACAACATTTTTAACACTGGGCTAGTGGAGCTACATTGGTGTTAGCAACATTGGCAATGAAATAAACTCCTAGTTTAGACACAGCCTTACTGTACAAACAAGAAATCATATATATGATTCTTTCAGTGATTGCCCTTGTCATTCCACACTAGATGTGTGGGCACCAGTGCATCAGAGTTGGATAACTTTTTCCCATAGCAATACCCTTTGTGGGGGCTCATGAGCCCGCCGTGTGCTTTTGCTAATCACAAGAGCATAAAGGGGCCGGGGGGGGGGGGCAGAGCTGCCCTGCCCCCCCGCCTTCTCCGCCCATCATCAGTAGTCATAACAAGTCTGAATGCCTCACACTTCCCCTTTGTGCTTTAGAGACCTACATTTCAGAACAAGTGGATAAAGTGAACAAGGAATTTAAGGTTTTTATAGTGAGGGTTGTTTGCCCACTCCTCTTCGGGGTCTGTGGTGGATGAAACAGACTCAGCGACTCGTGACAGCTATCACTATGCACCCTGTTTCATGGCTGCAGGTATCGAGCATACCAGCTGAAGTCCCACACCCTCTGAAGGTTCATATTTGTTTTGGGGAAAAGCAGAGGAAGCTCTGAACACTAAAAGATTCCAGGATAACCCTGAAATCAATTGGTATTTATACCCCTGCTATAATAAAGAAGCAGTTTTGGCCTCAGGCCCAGCAGAGGTATCCATACTACCCAGTGAGACAGCCCAAAAGCTCTAGAAGGCATTCTAGGTCTCAAAAGAAGAGACCCCTGTCTTCACCTCCTTCAACTTCTGCGACATTCAGACAACTTTAAACTTCCAAGCAGTCTTTTTGATTCTTTGGTCGAGGGCAGCAAACCACTCCCAGAGATCTTCTCTCCCTTTGGCAACATGTTGTCCCACTTCCTAAATGCCTGGACCCACATTACATCAGATACCCTAAGCATGCTGGAACTGGGATATGCCCTGCAATTCATGAATATTCCTCCATTCCTCCTGCCCCCTTCCCTGACCCTTTTCACAGACCACTCTCACAAGGTTATACTAATTCACTAAAAGATGCTGACATCCGATTCCCCAGATGTACATGGGCAGTGGTTCCATTATGCAGCTCTCTAATCAAGTCCAGCAGAGTGGTTGTGACATCTATGCCCTTTAAGGCCTTCTATAGTGCTGCTCGGTCAACTGAATCAAATGCAGCCGTAAGGTTGACATACGCTACGTGCAGGGGTTTTTGAACTCATAGTGTATCTCTGACTACAAGCGGAGAGCTGGTGGCATCTAGTGTGGAACTGTTCCTCATAAAGCCTGACTGTTGGGAGCAACACAGAGCAGGGGCTCCAAACGTGCCAGCAGAACATTTGCAAACACCTTCCCTGGCCTGGACGATAAAGTGATTGGCCTATAGCTCTTGCATTCACTGCTCAGTCCTTTTTCCTTATAAAGTGAGATCACAATACTGTCCTTCCAGCTGGTTGGCAAGGTTCCAGTTCTCCACAACAGATGAAATATGGCCAGAAGATGGCTCTTCCATGAAACTTTAATTGGTGGTCCCTGTCACTCAGACAGAAATCCATGGGGGCATTTTGAAACTTTGACACTTTTTCATTATGAAATATTTATTTGGTGACTGAGGTAACTGAAAAATGGAGTCAGAGGACACCATGGGTCAGTACAAATTCAGGTGAGAGTATTAGAATGTTTCAACTAGATACAGTTATTGCCTCACCTGCCTCATAGCCTCATATATAGTTTTGTCCCCAATTGTCTTCTTGTGGAGGAGTGGAAACATGGCAGCCATTCGTGGGCTACAGGGCTCTGCTCTCAGGCATCACTGGCATCACAAAGGGGCATGTCTGTCAGAGAAGGAGTAGAAAACTTTCCTGCTAACTTGCAGCAGTTTGGGAAAACGGGCAACCATCCAAGAGGCTCAGAAACTTCCAAGGAAGGACATATGGGTCAATTCACACAAGCGATTATAACTATAATCCTCCTAATAGATGAAATTAAAATTTTTTGTGACATTAGACCCCAATAGAAAGTCTGGCTGCAGCTGAGTTATCTAGTTTCTTTGCTGTCTTCTAGCAGATGGAACAGTTTAGTCTGAATGAGCTGGGCATTCTTCTCTTTTTAGCATTATATCCCATGGAAACAGTTTTCTTCTTTTATGGAACTGATTGTCCTTCCTTGGAAGTTCTTGAACCTCATAGGTGGCTGCCTCCGTTTTCCCAGACTGCTACAAATTGGCAAGAAAGTTTCTACTCCTTTTCCCATAGATATGCCTTTTTGTGATGCCAGTGACCCTTGAGTACAGAACCCTATATACTCCCAAATAATTGCCATATTTTCACTCCCCCATAGGTAGGTAGACAAGTGGAGATTAAATAATTATATATGGTGAGGTCAAATTCTGAACTCTTGTCCTCAAATACCATTGATATCCCTAGTGTTTATAATACGGTACTAGAAGTATTGCACAAAATATTTGCCTGTCACTTGAGTGGTGCATCATTCTGGCTGTCATGTTGTCAATGAGACTGAGGCAGTCTGGGCATCTTTAGAGAAACCTGAAGAGTTGGAACACTTCATAAAGCCTAAAAGGAATTCTAAACGAAATACTGCAGTTTTGAGATGAATGTTGAGATGAATCATGACTTACTTAGTGGGGCCACTCAGCACATTTTTTGTTTACTTCAACTTCTACTTTTATTTCAAAAGGTGAGCTATGAAATAACGAGGGTCAGAATTAATTATTTTAATTATTCTTATATTCTATATTCTTATGGAATTAATACAAAAGTTACTTAGACTGTTTTGTTCACAGTTGTCAATTTATATTGCAAGTCCAGTTACAAAGCAATTTTTAATTTTTTGATACTATTTTCTGCTGCTCTTTTGGATGAAATGCAAAGGCCTATTATAGTTTAACTTACTGGTATCTGTTCTATTTCTTTTTTCCCAAGGACTCCGAATATTAATAGAGGAAGCTTGATTGCACTGTGTGTTTCTAATGTCTTTTTCATGCTTCCCTGGCAGTTTGCTCAGTTTGTCCTTCTGACACAAGTAAGACCATTTTTATTGAATATCAGTGTATTAAACACACCTCTGTTCCTGTACACCGGACAATAGCTTAGTGTGTATGTAGCTTCAGAATAATAAGTTCAAGCTTTATAGTGGGACACTATACACAGTATGTTTAGACAAGTGTGTAGTTCATTGCAAAATTAGATTCAGGTAGAATCTTTACCTTATTTAGATAAATTGATTGCTTTGTACAGGCAAGTGAATTCATAGGACTTCTGATGTTTTTTAGCAACCATTGTCATTCTGTAGCACAGTAACCAAAATTAGATTTTATGTTCATTCTTAATATCTGTTCTCTAAACAGAGTCCAGAATTCAGCAGCCAGACTTCTCTTGCTCTCAGGTTCATATTGCACCATCACATTCACTGCTTGTCCTAACATCTCCAAAGTTATTTCAAAATTGTCTCCTTCTTGTCCCACAATCTTAACTGTGGGGTTTTCTCTCTAAGGTGATTGAAAGTATACCAGAATGTTTGTCCTTATTAGAACATAGGTCTGCCCCTTTTAAGCCCTTCCCAGATTTCTCTGCCTCCAGAGAAATAGAAATAGTCCAAATGTAGTTTTGCAAAACCATACGTGAAAACAAATATTTTTGTGATACTAAATCAAATATTTCAGTTACAAAAATTTTGTAGGCATGGAAATTCAAGTAATTTGCCTTTTAATCCAAGAAATGCATATATTAAGAAAAAACCCTCCATCGTTAGACCCAGAAAGTGAAATTAAAATGTTTAGTTTCACTGCCCAAATTGTTTGAAGTGTAAAAAGTAAAAATAAAAATATCTGAGTACAATAACTTATTAAAATTAAAAAAATATTTTAATAAACTAAGGTGATTAATACAAATAGGGAATTATTTTAAAATGTCTTGGAACATTTTTTTATGTTTAACATATATTCCAGCATTAATTTTATATGGATAGTGTTGACTTTTGGTGTACCTACTGCTACCAGGTACAGTAACTACTGTCTGAGAGCAGCAAAGAGCTCATCTGATTTAATTGGCTTCAGAGTAGCAGCCGTGTTAGTCTGTAGTCGCAAAAAGAAAAGGAGACCTTAGAGACTAGCAAATTTAAGTACTCCTGAGGGAATTCTGTGCCAAAAAAGAAAAATTCTGTGAACTATATTTTAAAATTCTGCCAGTTTTATATGTCAATAAATAAATGTGGAGACTCCAACATGGCAGTGGGAGCACAGGCCACTGGATGCACAGAAGACGGAGATCACCCTGGAGCAGTCCCATCCTCCCCACAGGACAGGGACTCGGTGGTGAGGGTGCACCTGACCCTGACACAGCTCAAGGGCTGTCCTGCCCTTCTGTACCAGGTACTCCAGGGATGGGCGGGCAGGCAGGCTCAGCCTGCCAGGATACAAGTGTGGTGGGGCTTAGTGTGGAGGGACCCAGGTGTGGGGTGAGAGTTCTGTGTGGGTCAATCTGGGGGTGTGGATGGCTCAGTGGGGGATCTGGATGCACAGGAGTTTGTTTGTGGGGGGCTGGGGTTGGGTGCAGGGGAAATGGGACTCTGCAGGGGATCCAAGGGAAGGTGATTGGGGCTCAGCAGGGGCAGTCTGGGTGTGGCAGGATTGTGCTTGCAGGGGTGGTTTCAGTGTGGGGGGCTCAGCGAGGGGGTCTGGGTGCTGGGGGAGCGGGGCTCGTTGGGGTGGGAGTCCAGGTGTGTGGGGCTCATCAGGGTGATCCAGGTACAGGAAGGATGGGGCTCAATGGGGTGGGGGTTTGATGGGCCTGCTTAATGGGGGAGCCCCAGTGCTGCTCCTGAGGGAATACTGCATGCCGGGCTCTCCCTCTCCCCACAGGCCTCCCCCACTCCTCCATCCCCCTTTCTTCCCCACTGCCTCTTCCCACCCCCCTTCTCCCATTTTTCCTGCCCCAACCCACCTCTCTTGCCCTGCCCCACTGCGGGCACTCACCATTGTACAGAAAACAGGATGGCTTCCAGCACACAGACAGGGAGCCTGACCGGCACTATAACTCAGAAGATGGTATCCAGCTGCAGAGTCAGCTAGCTGTAGCAGAACCCTCCTTCATCCGGGCAGCTCTGTGCTCACAGAAATGGGGTGGTGGGGGCAGTGGCATGTGACCCCGCATACCCTCATGCCTTGCCTCTGAGGGGCTATGCCCCCCAAACTATGCCCAGGGGCGTCCCCACCCCGACCCCCTTGGAGATTTACCTCTCTGCCAGCTGTTCCGGGCTCTGGAAACCATGCTGACATGTGACCGCTCTTGTGGCTTCCTTTTGCCTTCCCATCATTTTCTGTGGGGAAGCAAAGAAATCTGTGGGGGGAATGAATTCTGCACCTATGCAGTGGCACAGAATTCCCCCAGGAGCATATAATGTAGTTTAAAAGAGTCTGTTAAATATATCTCTAGGCAGCACATACTCATCTTTATGCATTTGTATTAGAGAAAAATGTAAGCCCAGAAGTGCTAATTAGCACAAATTTTAAAAAAAAAGTTCTGTAATCAGGGGCTTTTAAGAATTTTTCAGTCAATAGAAGGTAGATAAGCACTTACCTCTGTTTAGGAAAAGTAAGGGCTTGGATTTCACAACACAAAGCATTGGTCATCATATCTAGCTTCCCCACTGAAAAATTACTCTTTATGTGTAGCTTCTAAGCGCAAGTGCTCTGATTACCTGATTCAAAGGGTTGCTGCAATCACTGACCTCATTCTTTAAAATAAATAAATAAATGAAAATGGGGATATGGTGAATTAATTACTAACCCATGTCAGGTTTTTTGTTTTAAGCTACCTGTGACTTTTAATGCATTCTGGACTCTTCAGATAATTGTCCCTTTTGGAAACAGAAGTCTTGCTCCCTATTTGGGTCTGCAGAAAACAAGCTGCTGCTTTAAATATCATCCTGAAGGGGTGCAGAATGAGAGGCATAGAAAAAGCACTCATACCTTCCTAAGCATCTGATATCCTGAGCTAGGGTGCAAAACACCCATGACTCTTAAATTAAAAGCTGGGAAATGAATGAATAACTGGTTAAAAGGATAATATGGAGAAGTAATTGGCAGAATTATCCCCGAGGCTCTTCCGCACAAGTATTTGTGTCCTCAGCTCTTCTTGTATTTTTGAGGAGCAAGGATGCCCTTCTCTCTCTCCTCTCCTTGTCAACCCAAGGTGCTTGGAATACAGGACCTTCTCTTCTTCTTCTCTCCCATCTACTTTGGGCTGCTGTATTTTGAAGTAGCAGGTGTTGCTTTTGAACAAAACAGTCTGGGCAGGAGTGGATGGGTCTCATAACCACAACAAAGAAAATGAGTTGCAGGTGGCCACCAAAAGTGTAAACTACAGGAAAATGTTTATTTTAAAAATGTTTGATAACATGACCCTCATTTTTCAGAAAATCAAGGCAGAGACAACAGGGGTGCTCTCCTGCTTAAGACAGTGGACAGGAACTTTGGAGAGCTGAATTTGGTTCCTAGCATCACCATAAACTTCATGCATAACTTTGGGCAGTCACTTAATTTCTATGCCTCATTTTCCTCATCAGTAAAGTGGAGATAATATTTCCTGATTTTTACACAGTTAAGACTAATAATAATGAATGCTTTTTTATCTGAAAATGGGAGGTGCTAGCCAGGAGCAAATTATTAATACAAGTGGGGGGTCATTTAAAATTAGTAAAGCAACATTTTAAATCTTATTCTTGAAATGTTTTATATTTTGTATTCTTTGGTTGTTATACACAGCCCCACCTTCTTTCAAAATAAGCCATTGCAAAAATTCATAAGCCATTAGCCATTAAAAGGAGCTACAGATGCTGAATAATGTATTTATGCTGTATGAATGTATACTTTTCAATTAGTTTAATCTTCTCTCTTTAATTCCAGATAGCCTCGTTATTTGCTGTGTATGTTGTTGGTTACATTGACTTTCTCAAGTTACAGAAGATACTTTGTGTACATATGGTAATACTTCCTTTTAAAAAATCTAGTCAAATCAGCTAGTCAAGAGAAGTTAGTTTTAGATATTTTGATTAGTTGTGTAGTGAGTATAAAGAGTTACTGTAAGTAAGACTAAGAGTGAAGGGAAAAAAGGAATAGAACCCTGTCCATATATAGACCTTGAGATGCACAAAAATGACATTTTAAAATACACCACTGAGTGTTTTCTGCCTTTACTAATTGTGTATTGGAAAAAAAAGAAAAAATTACTGGTTTTAAAAGAATACTATCAAACTTGGTAGACCAACATTTTAATCTGTTGTAGAAGTAGATATTTTAGAGATGCCTTGCTAATAAATAAATCTTTTTATGATTTAGACAAATATGTAAATGTAAACCAAGTATTTTAATATCCTAAATCATTAACAGTGCACGGATTTGTTTTCCCTTTAATGTAAAAGCTAAGTTCACTTCTGCTACAATATCATGGCCAGTTCAAAGATGTTAATTGGAACAAGTCATGAACAGGGCCGGATTAAAGCGGGGCTTTAGGGGCTGCATCCCAGGGCCTCTGACTAAGGGGGGCTCCGCAAAAATATATCCATAGTGATATACAATTCAGTGGTCACCAGCCCGCCAATTGCGATCGTCTGGTTGATCCTGAAGCCTCTGCCAGTTGATGACGATCTCTGGGCCGCTAGAAGTCCGGTGGCACAGCAAGCTCAGGCAGGCTGCCTGCATGCCTTGGCCCCACACTGCTCTCGGAAGCAGCAAGCTGCTGGCACGTCTCTGTGGCCCCTCGTGGTGGTGGTGGGGAGGCTTTGCGCGCTGCCCCTGCCCACAGCACCGTCCCCGCAGCTCCCATTAGCGGGGATGGCACTTGCAGGTGCGTGCAGGGCATGGAGACAAGCTGTCCCCCTCCCCGCAGGGGTGCACCGCCCTGGACCCTGCATCCCCCTGAAGCTCAGGGCCCCCCAAAGCATGGAGCCTGGGGTGGTTGCCCTGGTCTGTCCTATGGACAGGACAGCTCTGCTTGGACCTGTTCTGGGCACCACCAAAAATTATACAAACCTGGCACCCATGGATATTGGTCATGCATTTACAGGTTTCTGTATTTGTGTATTTTGAGAAACATCTGCTACCACATTATTTTCTGGATTTTTCCATGGTGTTCAGGATCTTCCTGAAGATTCTAATTGCTGTAATACTCTTCATTGTCTGGGCATACCAAAAGGACAGGAGACACTTGATGTGGATTTTAATCAGGCTGCAACTTTATTATATAGAGATCTGGGACTACCAGGCAGATAAAGTGTACAGTGCAGGCAAATCGATGTTTATTCAAATCATTATCTGGGGCTTTCTCCAGCCCCACTTCATTTTCCATCCAGGTCCCTCCAGCCAACCCATGGTTTGGACCTTACTATCCACCCCCCTCATAGGAGGGTTAAGGTAGCTATGAGACCGGGGAGTGGGGGTTGGCTCCCTGTTGTACCAATCATAGGAGTCCCCAAACCTCCTCCCCCATTCTGTTCCTTTACCCAGCACCTCCTTATGAGTCCTTTACCAGGCCATTTATTTGGTCACTGGATGCCTTCCCTATGGAGTACCCGCACTGGACATCCACCACACACTTACAAAATAAGTTGCGACATATAGCCTACCACCTTCTCTTATCAGAAAAGGTCATCCCTGACACCCACTCTGGGGAAGGCAAAAAAACCTCACTCGACCGAAGTCAATCTGGTGGTGCAGGAAAAATTCCTTCCCAGCCCCCCTTAAAAAGGAGTGACTAGCACAATGCCCACAGCAGGTCCTAACCCGACTTGAAATTTGCCCCCACTAGGGGAGGGAGGGTGGGTGCTGCCTTGCCTGCTGCATGGAAAAAAGGGGCTTCCCTCGCCGGAGCTTGCACCTTTATGGCCGTCAGACCTCACATTCCTGGGGGATGAGTCAGCGCCGCGAAGCTGACCACCGTTCACCTTTTGTAGCAGTCTCGGACCACCTCCACCACCCCCCCAGCCATAAAGCACAGCTGCCCTCCCTCGGCAAGCCCAGCCAACGTTTGCCCCGCTTTAAATGCGGTGCAGTCATTAAGACTTAAGAAATATCCTATTATGCATTGTTGAACAATATACTGGTTAGGAGGAGATTATTGAGAATCCAAAGATCTATAGTTCACCTACTAGAAGAAACAACTTAATATAGGCTTATGATTATCTTTCCCCCATTGGTTCTTTCTGTCCTTCTCTTGAATTCTTTTCTCTCTTCCCAGGAATTGATTCTCAATCTCCATCCTCCACTTCTCCCCATTCCAATATGTTATCGTGCCTCCCCATCTCTTCTATAGATTAAATGCTTTACTTTGTTATGCCATCCAGTGGGTTTTAATTTATTCTTACAGATTCTTCCCTTGCTGATTATGGTCTCTCACAGTGGGATCAACTGATTCTTAAGGAGTAGTCTCCTCAGGGATTTTGTCCTTTTACCTTCTAATGGATTTTGGAAGCACATCCCCGGGCTATTCAATATCAGCTTCTGAGACATTGGCTGGGCCTGTGAATCCATATGTTTTTGTAAAATCCAGAGTAATTCTTGCCAGAACAGCATAGTTGACAGCTACAACTGAATAAAAAAAAATATTGGAGAAAACTATGATATGGTTAAGTATGCCTATAACCAAAGTGCTGCATCAAATTTTTGGTTTACCAGTTTTTATGGTGTTATTTATTTGAAATGTACAGCTTTCTGTATGACAGAAATATTAAGTTGTTGTTTGAGTAGTGTCCCTCTGGGTGCTTCAGTTCAGGTGCACATGCATCCTGTGCCTTTGATCAGAGATTTTTGGTAGTGTTGCTTGTCCGGCCTGCTCATGCACCCTACACATACTCCTGCCCCATACCCAGGTTATTTAGGGCTGTGTGGGCAAACAGCCTTCAGTTCCTTCTAGTGGTGCTGGAATTAGGGGTACTGCTACACCCCCTGCTTGAAGTAGTAATAAACACCAAATACATGGTTTCCATCAGCAGCACCCCCACTATAAAAATTGTTCCAGCATGCTTGGTTCCTTCTCAGGTGCCTTTGGCCAGAATTGGAATTTAGTGTGTTCTTGTTTTCTCTTTAGAGTTATTATAGTAAGTAGTAGTTTAGTTTATAGTAGTTTAGTAGTTTATAGTTATTGGAACTGTTGTTCTCATTTTCTTTCTCCCCTCCAAAAAAATTTTTTTTTCTGGTTCTGAGGAGTCCAATATTTTTTCTTGAATATGGGATGCTGGGCTACATGGGTTTTAAAAGGTGCCTCTCCTTTTGAGGAGCCATTCCTGTCAGTGAGGATTTTTTCCCTAAATTGCTAATGAGAATTGGACTCTCAAGTCTCCAACAAAATAGTCCTAGCTTTGAAACCTTTTGCCACTGCAGGCAACATGGAGTGCAGAAAATTCTGTTCCAGAGGAGGACTCAGACATCTCCTAGAGATTGAGGATTTTCTCGTTACATAGACAAAGGGTCTTTCTCTATGGGTCTCCACCAATTCCATTGCTTTTAAAAAGAAAAGGAGTACTTGTGGCACCTTAGAGACTAACAAATTTATTTGAGCTTAAGCTTTCGTGAGCTACAGCTGGTGAAGTGAGCTGTAGCTCACGAAAGCTTATGCTCAAATAAATTTGTTAGTCTCTAAGGTGCCACAAGTACTCCTTTTCTTTTGCGAATACAAACTAGCACGGCTGCTACTCTGAAACCTGTCATTCCTTTTAAAGGTTCTCAACAAGATCAAGCACAACCAAGCCAGGGTCATTTTGATTATATCAACTTGGCCAAGACAAGTTTTGTATCCGTACCTTGTCAGACTCACCTTCTGCTCTCTGTGGCAACTCCCCATCGATTCTTGACTGTCTCAGGATGTGAGTCAAACACTTCACCCCAATCTGAACATTCTGCAACGCAAAGCATGGCTCCTCAATGGCTCTCAGGATTAGAGGCATCCTGTTCATTGGGAGTACAACATGTGCTGTTAAATAGCAGGGAGAAATCGACAAGACACACTTACTTCCAGAAATGAAGATGTCGTCATCTTTGGTGTAACCTCTGTTATTTTTCACCTGTCCAGTCATCTCTTTCCACAATCTTGGATTACCTATTGGAATTGAAAACATCAGGTCTCTGAATTCCATCAAGGTTCCCTTAGCATTAATAACAGCTTTCCACACACGTTTAGGTGGTTTCTTAATTTTCATACATCTGATCACAATGAGGTTCTTAAAGTCTTACAAACCTTTTCCTGCAGATTAGTGATCCTACTCTGCTTTGGGATTTCAACCTTGTTTTTAACCATCCCATGAAACAGCCTTTTGAACTACTAGCTACATGCTCTGTTACATTTGTCCATGAAGACAAGTCTTTTTGGTGACCTTCACTTCTGCACAAAGGGTTGGAGAGATTGGGGCTCTAATGGCAGGTCCTCCATTGACTGTGTTCTCCAAGGAAAATGTATCATTACAACCCCCTGCAAAATTTTTACTTAAGGCGGCTTCTGTTTCATATTAACCAGACTGTTCACTTTCCAGTTCTCTTTCCTAAGCTACATTAGTTTCCTGCGTAGAATATCTTCCATATGCTAGATGTTGAGAGGGCATTGGCCTTTTACTTGAACAGAACCAGAACATCCAAAAGTCCCCATGACTTTTTGTTTCTATTGAGGATAGGTCTGGGGAATACATTATCTCCCAAAGAGACTCTTTGGATGTATTATTGCATGTAATGGTTTGGTTGATGCTCAAACGCCCCTGCAAGTGACTGCATGTTCTATTTGATTGCAGTCTGTCTGTCTAGCCCTACTCAAGAATGTTCCAGTTGCTGAGAGATCTGCAAAGCTGCAACATGGAGTTCAGTGCATACTTTTTCCAGCCGTTATGCTTTGGTTCATGCTGCTAGATCAGATGCTGCAGTAGACAGTGCAGTTCTCTCTTCAGCGCTGGACTCTGTTCTAAACCTCCCGTCTCCTTGACCTAAGGAGTCACTTTGAAGTGGAGCACCCACAGGGACACAACTCAAGGAAAGAGCAGTTGCTCACTTTATGCAGAAACTGGAGTTCAAGATGTGTCCCCCTTTGGGTGCTCCACTACCTGCCCTCCTTCCCCTTTGCTTTGGAGTTCCCTATGTGGGGCTTTGCAGTAGAGAAGGAACTGAAGGTGGGTTACCTGTACGGTCCTATACAGCCTCTCTTCGAGGCATAAGCATGTTGAGTGCGCATGTGAAGGCCAAACAGGCACTGCTGCCAAAAATCTCTGATCAAAGGTACAGGGTGCATGCGCATCTGAAGTAGAGTACCGAAAGGAACACATATCACAAAGAACTCCAGTTATTGGACAAGGTGAGTAACCTCTCCTTTTTTTTCCTCCTCAAAATTTCTTTACTACTTTGTCCACGGGACTCTGAGAGTCTCTGACTATCAGCATATGTAAGTGATCTAGCAAAATAACTTGACAGAATGAATAAAACATCAGAAGAAGCTTTTAAGAAAATGAAAAAAGAATATAATAGGGGTTGAAATATATTCTGTTAAATCTTTTATTCCATGTTACTTGCATCATCATAGTAGTTCACATTTGCTACATTGCCATCATTTAAAATCTTTATTACTAACCTGTCTCAATACAGTTCTGTAAACTGGGTCTCTAGCTTAGAGAGTTGCTGCATAGTATGTAGATATTGATATATTTAAAGAAAACCATGGTATTGCTGTCAGTTATTAATTATTTTATTTATACTATATGTTGTATTTGAGAGAATTACTTGATGGTTTAGATATTCTGAGATTTTTGTATTTTCTTATTTCAGGCATCTCTTGCACTGTGTTTCGTTTTGATGTTTGGCAACTCAATGTTATTGACATCATATTATGCTGCCTCTTTAGCAGTTATCTGGGTAAGTTTTGGAAGAACTCATTTCAGATGCTTAGGAATGTACTTCTGCACTATTATCTATGGATTGGCGCATTAAATGGAGAATTGTAACTTCTCTAAATAGTTAGAAAAGATTATACTTCCATGAGATCGATAAGGTTAGTCTTGGGCAATGTTCCCTCTAATTTTTGACAGGCCGTGTGCGCAAAAAATTTCTTCTGTGCAAATTGTTGTGCTTCTGTGCAAATTTTTATGTGTGCGGTGTTTCACCGTATGTGCAGGGTTTAGGGTCTGTGTGCGCGTGCACAGCTTAGAGGAAACAGTGGTCTTGGGAGATGTTTGGGGAATGGGGAAGGGTTAATAAAGTCAGTAAAATGTTGACACATCAAAGCTTTGACACAAGAGAAACTGAACATGGACTTACGCTTTTTCATGTGTAAGGCTAGAACAATCACGTTTTACAGGGTACTAAAAGTTATTTATATGCTGGCAAATTTTGTAGAACATCTGACACACAAGGTATACGTGATTAACTGATTGGACTTTAAAGTAAAAGCTGTGGCTTTTGTTTCTCTTTGAAGCTTAAGCAGTATTAAAAAAAAAATCTTAAAATGTATACTTTTTCCAAAACTGCAAATAGTACAGAACAGTATGACCAATAACAGAAGCAACAATAATCAGAAATTGTGCGTCAATATGAAAACAGTCTTGGAAGGCCCACTCACTCAGGAACACGCTACAAGCATTATTTAAACCATTAAAGGTTTGCAAAAAGAAAAGGAGTACTTGTGGCACCTTAGAGACTAACCAATTTATTTGAGCTGTAGCTCACGAAAGCTTATGCTCAAATAAATTGGTTAGTCCAAGTACTCCTTTTCTTTTTGCGAATACAGACTAACACGGCTGTTACTCTGAAACCTGTCATTAAAGGTTTGTCATCCAGTATATTCCTCACCACTATTTTTTACAGAGAAAACTTACCTAAGCAAATCATGTACTTACTCCAGGAAGGAAGAAGACAAAATTATCAATCAAGGCTAGTAGGAGGACACTAAAGAGAGCCTATTTCCACCCCAGTCTCTCTTGATGTTCCATCCTGGAGGCATGGAGGGTAGCCCAATGTCTCAGTCTTTTTATTTTAACTTTTTGTCTCTTAGATCTTTTCTGAGAAAAAGGGATGCTGAGCCACCCCATGGCTCCTTTGTTAGCTAAAATGTCCTTAGTTACAAAAAAAAACTTTGTTGTTTAATCATTTGTAATGAAATCTTGATGTCATATGGCCATTAGTCTGGTGTAGAGTAGGCTTCTTACAGCTCTTCGGTTAATGCCCCATTTCTGATTTTTATTGCTCGTAACATCCACTGACGGTAAGAGTTCTTGCTATCATAAGATGGTGAAGAGGGCATACAAGAGGAAAATTTAGAACTTAGTAACAAATTTGTAACTTAGTAACAAAATGCAGGGAAACCTAGTGATTCTGTGTTTAGTAATGTTTTTCTGTCATTCTACCTCATCTTCCCTTGGGGATTCTTCGTGTACATTTTTTTATGCTGTAATTAGTAATTATTCCTTACTTTGAAGTTTCTTTTTGCTGGTGAAAATAGGCACGCTTTCTGTGCTTGTATTGCCTTTGATGTTTTTTCAAGAAAACCTGAAACTATATAAAATAGATTCTCGCCCGGAAGAGAGAAGAGTGGTTCTAATTCAGTGTATGGAAACTGCAATAATAAGAGTATCAGTTCTTATGATATTCAGTCATGTGATCGACAGGTTACATGGGTTTGAACTATACTTTTTAAGGATGTTCATTTGGTGACATGTCAAGCTCTGTAGAAAAAAATACGTAGTTTTTTCATGCGTTACTAGAATATGATTGGAAATATCATAAAATAGGTGCATTAATTTTTAATTATTATTTTAGGGTATTCTTGAATTGAGTCCAAAATTGCTGAAAAGGAGTAGAAGAGAAGTCAGTTTATGGGTAAGGATTGATAATCCAATTGAATTTATCAGAAAAGAACTACCACTTATTGGTCAGCCAAATCAGGAAATTATCCATGTATTTCTAATGCAGTGAATATGTGAGAATTGATAGTTTGAAGTAATATTTTGAATATCCATCTCAAAGTTGACTAATATCCCACAAGGAAAACTGACACAAGAAGGAATAAAATGGATAAGTAATTTGACAAAATTGAACTAAAAGCTTTCACACTGTAAGAGTTGTTAGAAGTTAAAAATACAGGAATTTTCTAATTAGTTACAATATTTACAAAATCATAAGAATTGGACCACTTAAACTAGGTTTATCTCCAAGACAGAACTATGGAAGGAAATTGAAAAATAATCCAATATCTGATTAAAAGAGCAAATTGTATGCACTCTTACTTGAGAACTTCAGGGCAATACTGACAAAGTGATTTAGTTTGAGAAACAGATATGAACAGCAAATTTCTCCAGAGGATTGAAAGAATGATGATAGTACAAGTTGACCATCATGGAGAGAATACCAGTGGAAAAGTATGATTAAATATTGGCTCCCACCAGAGTTGCAAAACAAAATGAACACAGTAAAATTCTGGAGGGGATACCATGATAAGGGGGATCATTTCCAAATCGTAATCCTAATTTTAAAGGAAGCTAGTTAGATTAAAAAATAATGGATGCAAATTCCTTTTACTTTGAGGCTAGAAAAATGTCCCAATTTGTGGAAATTAAACAACTCTGTAATTAAACAACTCTGTTTAATTTCTTATAACTGCAGCCAATAAATGTGATGGGTTCTCCCAGGGTGCCACCTGGAACTGGGGTACCACTGAGCCCCACTGACCCACCATCTGGGTGCTCTTTACACCGTATGGCTGTGACCAGCCTACTAAACTCTCTCCCAGGCTTCAGCACACATACAGGTAGGGGCACAACCAGCTGCAGTACATACAGACTGCTGTGATCAGCTCTGCATGGGGAGGCTACAGCTTAGGAGCTACTCAAGTGCCCACCCCCCTCTGAAGTGTAAACCCAAAATTATAGCGACTTGTGCTGCACAGGGATCTGTAGAGCGTAAGCTTATGAAATTCGCCCTCTCCCTCAATGTGGAGAGGAAATATACAACAGCTTTTGCCCCAAGTTAAGACTTCCACACACTGGTTTGTGATAAAGCAAAAACAAATTTATTAACTACAAAAGATAGATTTTAAGTGATTATAAGGGATAGCAAACAGATCAAAGCAGGTTACCTTGCAAATAAACAAAAACTCAATCTAAGCTTAACATACTAAAGAGGTTGGATATGAGTAGCAAATTCTCACCCTAAATGATGTTTCCAGGAGGTTGCAGAGATTCTTAAGGGGCCAGTTGCACTTGCTTCCAGCTTAAAAATCCCAGGTGTTTCTTTTTCAGGCTAAAAATTCCTTCATCCTGGATCCAGCACTTCCCCCCAGTTCAGTCGTCGTTCCTTAGGTGTTTTCAGGAGTCATCTTTGGGCGGGGAGTCAGTGAAGAACCTCGATGATGTCACTCCCCTGCCTTAAATAGCTTTTGCATAGGGCAGGACCCCTTTGACTCCAAGCATCTTTCCCACACTAGTCAGTGGAAAAACACTGGTATTCCCAAGATGGAGTCCAGTACCAGGTGACCTGGCACATGATCCTGAAGGGTCCTAGCAGCCATGAGTCAGAGATTGTTTACAGCATCCTCAGGAGGGACTTCCTGTGGTAGATTAGCCTCTTCTAAGACCTATTGTTTTCTTCTAATGGCCCATCAACCTGAATGGGCCCTTCCCAGCCAGCTCTATGAAGAATATGGGATGCAGTGTCACAAATAGAAAAGGAGTACTTGTGGCACCTTAGAGACTAACCAATTTATTTGAGCATGAGCTTTCGTGAGCTACAGCTCACTTCATCAGATGTATACCGTGGAAACTGCAGCAGACTTTATATACACACAGAGAATGTGAAACAATACCTCCTCCCACCCCACTGTCCTGCTGGTAATAGCTTATCTAAAGTGATCAACAGGTGGGCCATTTCCAGCACAAATCCAGGTTTTCTCACCCTCCACCCCCCCACACAAATTCACTCTCCTGCTGGTGCTAGCCCATCCAAAGTGACAACTCTTTACATAATCAAGTCGGGCTATTTCCTGCATAGATCCAGGTTTTCTCACATCCCCCCCACCCCCATACACACACAAACTCACTCTCCTGCTGGTAATAGCTCATCTAAACTGACCACTCTCCAAGTTTAAATCCAAGTTAAACCAGAACATCTGGGGGGGGGGGTAGGAAAAAACAAGAGGAAACAGGCTACCTTGCATAATGACTTAGCCACTCCCAGTCTCTATTTAAGCCTAAATTAATAGTATCCAATTTTTTTTTAAGATAGCGACCTTCATGCCTGTGATTGCGTGACCAGAGAGATTGAAGTGTTCTCCGACTGGTTTATGAATGTTAGAATTCTTGACATCTGATTTGTGTCCATTTATTCTTTTACGTAGAGACTGTCCAGTTTGACCAATGTACATGGCAGAGGGGCATTGCTGGCACATGATGGCATATATCACATTGGTGGATGTGCAGGTGAACGAGCCTCTGATAGTGTGGCTGATGTTATTAGGCCCTGTGATGGTGTCCCCTGAATAGATATGTGGGCACAATTGGCAACGGGCTTTGTTGCAAGGATAAGTTCCTGGGTTAGTGGTTCTGTTGTGTGGTATGTGGTTGTTGGTGAGTATTTGCTTCAGGTTGCGGGGCTGTCTGTAGGCAAGGACTGGCCTGTCTCCCAAGACTTGTGAGAGTGTTGGGTCATCCTTTAGGATAGGTTGTAGATCCTTAATAATGCGTTGGAGGGGTTTTAGTTGGGGGCTGAAGGTGACCGCTAGTGGCGTTCTGTTATTTTCTTTGTTAGGCCTGTCCTGTAGTAGGTAACTTCTGGGAACTCTTCTGGCTCTATCAATCTGTTTCTTTACTTCTGCAGGTGGGTATTGTAGTTGTAAGAAAGCTTGACAGAGATCTTGTAGGTGTTTGTCTCTGTCTGAGGGGTTGGAGCAAATGCGGTTGTATCGCAGAGCTTGGCTGTAGACGATGGATCGTGTGGTGTGGTCAGGGTGAAAGCTGGAGGCATGCAGGTAGGAATAGCGGTCAGTAGGTTTCCGGTATAGGGTGGTGTTTATGTGGCCATTGTTTATTAGCACTGTAGTGTCCAGGAAGTGGATCTCTTGTGTGGACTGGACCAGGCTGAGGTTGGTGGTGGGATGGAAATTGTTGAAATCATGGTGGAATTCCTCAAGGGCTTCTTTTCCATGGGTCCAGATGATGAAGATGTCATCAATATAGCGCAAGTAGAGTAGGGGCTTTAGGGGACGAGAGCTGAGGAAGCGTTGTTCTAAATCAGCCATAAAAATGTTGGCATACTGTGGGGCCATGCGGGTACCCATAGCAGTGCCGCTGATCTGAAGGTATACATTGTCCCCAAATGTGAAATAGTTATGGGTAAGGACAAAGTCACAAAGTTCAGCCACCAGGTTAGCCGTGACATTATCGGGGATAGTGTTCTTGACGGCTTGTAGTCCATCTTTGTGTGGAATGTTGGTGTAGAGGGCTTCTACATCCATAGTAGCCAGGATGGTGTTATCAGGAAGATCACCGATGGATTGAAGTTTCCTCAGGAAGTCAGTGGTGTCTCGAAGGTAGCTGGGAGTGCTGGTAGCGTAGGGCCTGAGGAGGGAGTCTACATAGCCAGACAATCCTGCTGTCAGGGTGCCAATGCCTGAGATGTCACAAATATATTTCACCCTTTTGCTTGAAAAAAGAAATACCATCTCTAGAAAGGTGATTAGCAAGAATAAAATAATTTTAAAAAATGGAAAGACATGCTACCTACATTAGATTAACTGAACTATTTCAGGAAAGGAACAAAATAGGATATATATCAATTTTTAAAATTACCATATGTATGCCTCAACTTGTAACTAGTCTGCCTCAGTTCTGCTGTTTTCCATTAGCTTGTTTTTATTCATCCTCTTTTAATACTTACACTGTTAACCATTATGTTAATTTTTTATTAAAAGGAGCTAAAAATAAGATTCTGGAAACCTCATTTCTGCTGACTGCACTCTTGCTGTGATACTGTTTCAATGCACTAGGAGAGAAGAGGGAGTCTTAACTGTAGTGCTTGGAGCAATGTGCATAAAGCAGTACTAGATCTTTCAGTTTCAATAGGAAAAGATTTAATATTACTACTGCGTTCTCTAATTATTGGAATGTACTTTGAATTACAAATCAAACACTTCTTGTGATTGTCAGTTGCTTTATTCTTGACACTTTCCTAACACACGAGAGAACTTTTTCCACTAACTGTACAACTCCAGGATGCTTTTTTTCTTCTGTTGTCCTCCTTCAGTCTGAATGTATCCTTTATTTTGTAGGCCATTGAAGGATTTGCTTGGTTATTTGGGACAGTCACCTTGAAATATTTGACTTCTCGAATATTTGGAGTAGCTGATGATGTAAGTGCTGCTTTTTTTAATGTTAGTCATTGTTAAAGGTTTTATTTTAGACAGTTATGTTGCTTCATATCTTATTTAATCCTTTAAATATTTTCTTCTTTTCTGAGAAATTAAATATTTAAACTGCACAATATTTAAGATGATCGCTAATTTATTATTCCATTTTCTTTTCTTCCTAAATGACATGGACTTAAACATTAAACCAAGCCAATAAATGAATGCTGTTACTTTTTGGTAAGCCAATGTAATGTTCCAAGAAATTGAGTTAGCATGGAAAAGTGAAATTTTGTTCAGCTCTTAGCTGACCACTATTCTTGTAGGACTATGCATTTGCTAAGTAAAACTTTGACACATGGCAAACAACTTAGTAAAACTGTCTTCGGAGTTTTAAAAAATTTTAGAGACTTATTTTTAAAGACCTATTCATGCTTTATGGGAAACCCTGGGAAACACTGAATTTATAAATTTTACATTTAGATGACATTGTTCTGCATTACTACTTTATCATTAAGGGGTTTTGCATGAAAATAGAATCTAAACATTTACATTTTATCTATTTGGCATGTTTTGATCAGAAGCATTGAAGAAGGAAAACAGAACAATGCTGTAATAAATATTACTGTAATACAGTAAAATAATCAACAAGTAACAAATTGGCAAATGTTATCCAGAGCTAGAATAAATTGTTAACAATACAAAGAAGAGAGATGATAGTAAGATCTTCAAAAATAATGTTGAAGTTTTGGTTAAGATAATTGTTTCTATTTTGCTTTATTATCCTTTATTATATTATATATTTGGTATTGTATTGTCAAGAGATTTCTAGGATTACTTGCACAGAAGTGAGAGAGGAATTATCACTCCAGGGTTTCATGATTTCCATAGCTATCCTCCAGGCATTTGGTACAGAAGCTGATTTAAATGATAGGTTACAAACCACAGTCAATAGTTCTGCAATTTCACATTTGAGTTCCTTCAGAACTCTTGGGTGAATACCAGCTGGTCCTGGTGTTTAGTTTATCAGTTTGTTCCAAAACCTCTTCTAATGGCCCCTCAATCTGCAACAGTGCCTCAGATTTGTCACCTAAAAAGAATGGCTTGTGTTTGGGAATTTCCTTCATATCCTCAGCCATGAAGACCGATGCAAAGAATTCATTTAGTTTCTCTGCAGTGGTTTTATCGTCCTTGAGTGCTCCTTTAGCACCTCGATCATCCAGTGACCCCACGAGTTGTTTAGCAGGCTTCCTGATTCTGATGTACTCAAAAAATTTTTTGCTATTACTTTTTGAGTCTTTGGCTAACTTTTCTTCAAATTCTTTCTTGGCCTTCCTAATTATATTTTTACACTTCATTTGTCAGAGTTTATGCTCCTCTCTATTTTCCTCAGTAGGATTTAACTTCCACTTTTTACAGGGATGCCTTTTTGTCTCTCACTGCTTCTTTTACTTCATTGTTTAACCACGATGGCACTTTTTTGGTTCTCTTACTGTGTTCTTTAATTTGGGGTATACATTTAAGTTGAGTCTCTATTATGTTGTCTTTAAAAAGTTTCCATGCAGCTTGCAGGGATTGCACTTTTGGCACTGCACCTTTTAATTTTTGTTGAGCTAGTTTTCTCATTTTTATGTAGTCCCCCTTTCTGAAATTAAATGCTACAGTGTTGGGCTGCTGTGGTGTTTTCCCTGCCACAAGGATGTTAAATTTAATTACATTATGGTCACTATTACCAAGCGGTCCAGCTGTATTCACCTCTTGGACCACATCCTGTGCTGCACTTAGGACTAAATCAAGAATTGCCTCTCCTCTTGTGGGTTCTAGGACTAGCTGCTCCAAGAAGCAGTCATGTAAGGTGTCAACAAGCTTTATTTCTACATCCCATCCTGAGGTGACATGTACCCAGTCAATATGGGGATAGTTGAAATCCCGCATTATTATTGAATTTTAAAATTTTTATAGCCTCTCTAATCTCCCTGAGCATTTCACAGTCACTATCAATGTCCTGGTCAGGTGGTCGGTAATATATCCCTACAGCTATATTCTTATTATTAGAGCATGGAATTACGATTCATAGAGATTCTATGGTTCAGTTTGGTTCATTTAAGATTTTTATTTCATTTGATTCTACGCTTCCTTTCATATATAGTGCCATTCCCCCACCAGCACGACCTGTTCTGTCCTTCCGATATATTTTGTACCCTGGCATTACTGTGTCCCATTGATTATCCTCATTTAATACAAGGCACTCTAGTTCACCCATCTTATCATTTAGACTTCTAGCATTTGTATATAAGCACTTTAAAAACTTGTCAATTTTTAGCTGTCTGCCATTACATGATGTAATTGAATGGGACTCTTTTCCATTTGATTGTTTCTCCTCAGATCCTACCCGTATTTTATCATCATCCATCCTCTCCTCTTTACTAGGATACAGAGAATCACCATTAATAGATCCTCCCCTAAGGAATGCCTCTGTCCAAGCCACGTGCTCCTCCGCACCTGTCGGCTTTCCCCCAGCCCTTAGTTTAAAAACTGCTCTATGACCTTTTTAATTTTAAGTGCCAGCATTTTGGTTTAGGTGGAGCCCCTCGTTCCTGTATAGGCTTCCCCTTTCCCAAAAGTTTCCCAAGTTTCTAATAAATTTAAACCCCTCCTCCCTACGCCATTGTCTCAACCACACATTGAGACCCTGCAGTTCGGCCTGTCAAACTGGCCCTGCTCATGGAACTGGAAACATTTCAGAAAATGCTACCATGGAGGTCCTGGACTTCAATCTCTTACCTAGCAACCTAAATTTGGCCTCCAGGACCTCTCTCCTATCCTTCCCTATGTCATTGGTACCTACGTGTACCATGACCACCAGCTCCTCCCTGACACTACACATAAGTCTATCTAGATATCTTGAGCAATCTGCAACCTACGCACTAGTTGGGCAAGTCACCATGTGGTTCTCCTGGTCATCACAAACCCAGCTAACTATGTTTCTAATGATTGAATCCCCCGTAACTATTACCTGTGACTTCCTAATAACTGGAGTTCCCTCCCCCAGAGAGGTATCCTCAGTGCAAGAAGGTACCACATCATCATCTGGAAGGAGGGTCCCAACTATGGGATCATTTTCCTCTGTCATGTTGGATGTTCTCCTTCCCTGCAGCTTTCATCCTCTTCAATACACAGGGGCTGTCAGACCGGGGGTGGGACCATTCTACTGTGTCCCAGAAAGTCTCATCTATGTACCTCGGTGTCCCTTAGCTCCTCTAGTTCAGTTACTCTGGTCTCCAAAGCTCGTACATGGTCTCTGATGGCCAGGAGCTCCTTGCACCGAATGCACGCATACGCCATCTGCCCATAGGGCAGGCAATCATACATGCTGCATTGGGTGCAATAAACTGGATAGCTCCCACTCTGTTGCTGGACTTCTGCCTGCATTCTCTTTTTACTCCTGCAACTCGTTCCTTTGTTAATGTTTTGTTTTTATTAGGGGGTGTTTTTGGCTTTAAGTTTAAAGAATGTTAAGTGTCTCTCGCCCTTCCTCACACTTCCTCCTCTAAACTCCCTTGCAAAACTCCCCTGTTAGCTGCTCCTGTTCCCTAGCTCCTCTGGTTACTTAGGAGCAGGCTTTTTAAAACCTTGGTCTTCCTGAGTAGCCCTACCCTCTGGTTAAGGGTTGATAGGTGCTAAAGGGCTTAGGGATCAAAGCCTCTTTAAGAAGCTCTCAGCCTTGCCACTAGGTTCAGCAAATGGTCCCCCAAACAAACATACCATGTGGTATATTTCAGCCAAGCAACAAGCACACCACAAACACACACACTACAGATAACAAACCTACCCCAAACATCACGTAATTGTCCTTCCTTCACCTGGAGAACTCCCTTGCAAAGCTCCCCTGTTAGCCGCTGCTGTTTGCTAGCTAGATATTCCAAGATGTTCCCAAAGTTCATGGGTATTAGATGGGGACAGAAGATAGGAAGCATGCTTCCCCTAAGTATGAATATGCAAAGTTCTTGATGAACCACAGTTACTTGGTAATCAACTTTTTTCTTGTAATCTTCTGCTGTATGTATTTTGGCAAACCTAACAATTTTGTACCTGAAAATCTCATTTAATCTATCTAAATAATGACTTGGTGCATTTACGCTTGTACTATAAATAAAGGGTTTTTGTTGAACTAAATAGGAAAATGTTTAACGAAAAAATAACTTTGTTACAGCATATGAGATCAATTTCTTATTTACTGATGATTTTTGCTTTATATTTCTTACCAGGCTCATATAAGTAACCTGCTAAAATCAAAATTTATTGGCTACAAGGATTTTGACACATTAATGTACACCTGTGCTGCAGAGTTTGACTTCATGGAAAAAGAGGTAACTTATTGAAAATTGATTTACAAAAGAGGTAACTCGTTTATATTTTACCTCAACTGTGATTGCTTCTGCCAACAAATCTGAGAGCTATTTGCTGTCATTGCAAGACTTTTGTTTCCACGTTCATGAGGAGCTGCAGGGTCCAATGAAAGTGTTTGTGTGTGTGTTTGTTTTTAAGTCCACTTAACTTCATTGTAGATTTTCGTGAGGGTAGAAATAGAAACAGTATGATTTCAGACTTGAAAGCTCTTAGATTTGGATGAGAGAGTAAGTACTGTATAAGGAGAGATTCTTTAAATTTTGTAATACTGCTTGTTTTATATAATTAGAACTACGTAACAAAAATGTTGAGGGGACGAAAAGTAGGTGAGAACCATATCTTGAGGTCCAATGTCTTGTGGTTTGTCTGTGCAGAGAATCACTTTGGCTGGATGAGTAAAAATGCTTTTAGGGCCAGTAAACTTGTCTTGGCGCAATCATAAATTATGAATGCTAAAAAATGAATTGGTGAGTGTTTGAGATGATCCACTGTTTAGTTCTAGTCTTATGACCGATAACTAAAGAAAATAAGCTGGAGATAAGATTGAAGCCTCCAGAAAGATTCTAAAGGCAATTGTAAAATGGAAAAGAACTTTATGTAATGTTAATGTCTAGCCTTACTTAAACATAGGGGGACTAATTTATAAATGCTGTATCAGTATTATGAGTATGAATTTGGTAGCTAGATAGGGCTTGATGTCTTGTATCTCCTTTCAGCTCACCTTGTTTTTGCTATATGTTGAAATTTAAATCTACCCTCAGGAAAAATATTTCAGGACTAAAGCATGATAGCTTTCAAAGTGAGACTAGTAGTAAATAAAACTAAATTTGAAGGAAATAAAAATTTCTTTGCATTTCAGACTCCAATAAGATACACAAAGACGCTACTACTTCCCATTGTTCTTGTGGTTTTTGGAGTAATCATCATGAAGGTAAGTTATTCATTTAGTGAGTTAACTATTTCCTCTTTTGGTGGTGTACTGAAGAGGGCAGTACATTCATCCAAATAAGGAAGAGCTAGGTAAATTACAGTAGAAATGATAGCCAGATTTTTTTTGGAAGAAATGGTGTACCATCTTCTGTATGATATAATCCACTGACCCAATCCTACACCACCTGAAGTGAATTCCAAAACTTCCATTTTGCCTTATAAAAATCATGCCTGTAAAAACAGCCATTTAAAAATTAATGGGTAGTTTTAAACGTTTAATATACATTTAGGACTAATTTGCTCTCCCTTATGTACCCCTTTTATTTTGGGGGCTTGTAGGACCTTTGTAGTTGCTTGGGGCCAGAGTTATTCCTAATGATCCTGTTCAACTTGAATATTTTTATTCTAAACAATTTAAAAATGAAATTTTTATTAAAAATATACTGTAGTTTTATTTTGCACGTATTCTGTACCTGATTGACAGACTATATAACTAACTGTTTTTTGTTATTGTATATTGCATTATGTGTAAAACATTGCAGTTTAATCTACTCAGGAACAGACAGGCTAGATGCAGGCTGCTTGTCTAATAAGAATTCTTTGTTGGCATGTGTATCTAAAACATATTGAATGAAAACTGCCTTTACTAATGTTTTAACCGTACCATCTCAAGCCCTCTTAATTTAATTTTAGAATTTTAAAATGTTCAGAAATGCTTTAGAATGATGCTAATTTGTCCATATTTTGTTAACTTTCATTGTGTTCACAGGCAATTAAATATACTGTGTGGGTTTTATCTCAGAAAGACCTCTGTGAAAGGTAAGTATTGCCTTTAAGATGTTAAACTTAATGATGATCTTCGAGTGGCTCTGCATATTCCCTCTTATAGGTATTGTGGTGCCTAATGGTAGAACCTTCTCCCAGTAGTGTCCACTAGTGTCCCTTCTACCTCTTCCCCCACCCCCCACATCTCTGAGGGCGAGGCCATGTAGGGATGCACAGCGCCCTCTATCACTTCAGTTCCTTCCAACCATGTGCCTGGACGAAAATGAACCTTTCCGGTCCCTTCAGATCTGGCATTTTACTCCATGTGTTTATTGTGAGTTATTTAGTGATTTGTATAGGTAAGTAGTTAATTTGTTAGTATCTTGGTTCCAGGTTATGGTGGAACTGAAGAGGATAAAGCCAAGAATGAAGAGGTGTGTTTCATGCCCTGCTGTTTTCCCAGCATCAGACATTAGGTGCCTGAAGTACCTGGGAGAGAGCCATTCTCCTTCTGGGTGTTCCATCTGCCAGACTTTTACACTCTGAGATTGCCAGGAGAGGCAGAATAGATTCCAGATGCTTCTCCGTGAGGCTAAGCCCTGTGGACCTGGACAGTGATTGGATCTAGGGTCCAAGAGGCCAGTTTCGTCTCCTGTGACTTCCATCAAAGCAGTTGAAGGGTTCCAGGAAGTCAGAACCAATATTGGGTCTGGCTTTGGTTCCCACTGCTTCATCCATCAGGCCCTCAGAACCGCCTGTGTCAGAACCAAGGATCATGCTTTCAGTTCTGGGTGTCTTGGTTCCGAAGAGGTCTACAGAAAAGATGGACACTGTTAGCAGTGCCGGATGATTTGCCTCATCATCAGATCCATCTGATTCCAACAGAGTCTCTATGGCTCCAAAATCAGTCTGTTCCGGTCTCAGCTTCAGGATCCAAAAGGATGGATTTGAGGATTGTGTCAGATTGGTCCCATTTAAGTGTTTGGGCCTGGCCTTAGTCCCAGTTCCAGGTCCATTTTCAGTTCCAAAGAATACTTTGGTGGTGGTAGCTGATGTGTATTGTACAGCAGTGGTTCTCAAAGCTGGTCAACCGCTTGTTCAGGGAAAGCCCCTGGCGGGCCGGACTGGTTTGTCTACCTGCCACGTCCGCAGGTTGGGCCGATTGTGGCTCCCACTGGCCGCGGTTCGACGCTCCAGGCCAATGGTGCTGCACCCCATTTTATGGCCTTGCCTTTAGAACGTGTTCAGAAACACTGAGCGGTGCAGCGGAAGGTGGTGTTGGAGGAGATGAGAGAGCACTCTAAGGGACACTGCTTGGAGAAGGTTTTACCGCTAGCTGGCCTAATACCAGTAAGTGTGAATATGCAGAGCCATCTCAAAGAACTGTGGTTACCAGTAAGTAGCCTTCATTTTTGCTACAAAAGAAATGTTAGGATTCTTTCTTTTCATTTGAATTGATATATGTCAGATACTTTAGATCCAAAATAGCATATTGACATGTTTTTGGACAGCTGTTTGCTATTCACTAAATGGAACTGGTTTTCCCTTCACTGTATAGCATTCAAAAATATTATTTGTATTTGTGCTTATTGATAAGTTAAATTACCATAGTTTGTTTGTTTGCTGTACAATCTTAGGCTAATATTTCTACTCCTTTGCCCTTCCCTTTCTCTTCTGCAAATAGTGAATGTAAACATCATCTTCATCCTTCCTTCTGGAGTATCAGGTTCAAGTTAGAAACCCCAGGATATTTGGGTTTAATTTTAGGAAGTGCTCCTATAAAATGTTCATCGTATTTCCTAAACTGTCTTCATTTATGGTTGGACGGTTCTCCTGTGATCTGGCTCTCAGAATAAAGAATGAGCAGCATCTACAGATACAAACTTCCCCTGCTGAAGAGCTTCTTAACACAAAGTCCTTTTCTGATCGCAAAATATGAACCTTTGTTCTGTCAGCGTCTGCACTCTTAACTTTCTCTTCTGGATAGATAATAAATTTAACATGGGGTTGAGAGGATAGTCAAATCCTCATTTTTTGTTGTGTTGCTGAAACGCTTTGGAGTGCTTCTTAAAGTACTGAGTGCCTGGTGTTTCGCTCCAAAGGAGTCATTGTCTTCCTATCCAGAACCAAGATTAATAATCTATGTCTATTGCTATCTGCTCTTTTCCATTAAATCCATTTTGGAACCGTATTTGATACTAACGTATGACAGTGGTGAATTGGGCAACGAGATTTTTGTCACTTCATCCTACACATTCAGCTACACTGAGAGTTTTTGTCTTTTTTCCATAGATCATTACTGGGACTTGTTTATGTTTGCTCATGTGGTCTTTATCAGATTTTTAACAAATATGAAACTCATGAGCTTTAGGATTTTTTTCTCACAAGTATCCTGCAAGAACATTAGGCATACATGCATCAGTTTATGGAAACAGATTTACAATAATTCAATAGCAAAGTTAAGGTTCTCTGGAAGTATCTTTTTTAAGGTCTCAACAAGCTTCAAATGTTGCTGTAACAATGTTTCGTTTACACGGTTTCCTCCTAAGGAGCCAGAAACCATGCATGTCATAACTAAGTAAATAGTTGACTTGTTTTAACAATACATAGTAGGACATGTTCTGTGTATTTATCTTTTGATAGGGAGTTTCTAGCTCTGTGTCCAAATAGCTAATCTGCTGTAAAGATTGTTTGTAGAAGTAATTAAAGTATTAAAGCGCATTTTCAGCATTGGAGATACGCCAAAACATAAATATGGGACAAAGATATTTATCCAACTTGTAAAGAGCTTTGAAATCTGTGGCTGAAAAGGGCTATATAAGTGATGTATATATTTATCAGATTATTTCATAAATGAAACTAGTGCACTTCTATAGGACATATTAATGATTCTGTGCTATGAACAAATAATGTATTTGTGGGGTATTTCTTTTTTATCCAGAGAGGATCATTTTAACCATGGTGAGGTAAGACTTTCATCTTTATGATTTCATGTGTGACTCCTTAATTTGAATAAGTACTGGTACATTTTTAATATAATTTAAATGAGAATTATCTTTTTATGATGTTTCTCAAAAGTTTAGGTTTTTTGGTCTATTTCCCTACTCCTTGGTTAGTGTCACCAGAATAACTTCTTTAAAATAACAAATACAAAAGATCTCCTATTTGTAATGGGGAAAAATATTATGTTTTATTTTAATGATATAAATAGAATATCCTGGATTCCAACTTCCATTTTTTTCTTGACGTATTTGAAGACTGTGTTTATAGTCTTGTTTGTAGGCTTAACTACCACACACAAATCCTATTACTTTACTTTCTGCTCTTTGTCAGTTACGCCTAATATTTTATTAATGCAAGTAATTCAGTTTTTCAGTATTTGGTTGATTTTGTTATTCTTAAGTGATGGCTTTTCTTTGAGGTTTTTTTCCATTTTAAGTTCAAAAAGTCAGCCCCACTTAATATGACATCTGTGTGATGATGGGTGGAGCCATCAAAGTTTAGGTAGACAGGCTTATATCTCATCTTGGCATTCAAATCCCTAAATTCAAATTCGTTTGTCCAGGAGGCCAATTGAAAGACTAGGTTAAAATGAGGGGTAAGATCACTAGAAATTAAGCATTCACTCAGTGCAATTTGCACTCAGGAAGCCTAGACTGAAGTGCAAAATCCTTCCATATTTACTACAGTTAGAAAACTAATTGGAATCTAGGGGCTAGCATGTAGAAAATAGCTTCCAATAAGCCTACGCCCCTTAGACAATTGCTTCCAATTTGGAGGAAGGAATCTCTTTCAATGCAAAAAAAAAGGGGGGGGGAGTGGAAGGGGGAAGCTTCCTAAAGAGCTGCCTGGCATCCAATTATTTATTTTTCCTGATTTATTTAGGGACACTGTGCTGTTTTGCTCTTTAGAAACATCTTAATTCATCCAAAAATATTTAAATGATTCAAATAGGTAGAGATATTGATTGGAGTGGCTGCATTTTTTATCACAAGTTCTCCTCAGGTAATGTGTGTCTGAGGTTACTGTGTCGAGAGATAAGAGTCTGGCACTGGTACTCTGAGTTGAACTTATTGATATTTGATTTTAAGAGTATCAGAGCACTATGTTACAAATAACTGGCCTTGTCACTAGATGCACAATTTAGTAATGGTGACAACTGTATTTGTCACATCTTTCATCTCTGGATCACTAATTATTTTAGATATGTTAATAAATAACAGTCTCTTCCAGCCTGTGAGGTAGGAGACGGCCATGCAGGGAATATTGCATCTATCATTGCCTGCCTGCCTTCCTTGTAGCTTGCCCTCCTGATTATCCAGCCATCTCTCCAGCTAGCCCTTCTGTGCTGCTTTTCCTCTTTCCTTTCTCCTTTCTACCCGCATATAAGCATACTTAAAAAAACAAAAAACCTCACAATCCTCAGGGAGGACGAGTAACAAAACCTACTTCTCCATTGCTGTTGCTTAAATTTGGAAGATTCTTTTACTTTGGCAATACATAAAAACTCTTATTTAAGTTTTGCATTTTTCAAAATGTATTAAATGAAAATGTATCAAAATGTTAGCTTATGTTTTTGTATATGTGTTTTTTTGTTTGGCAGCTGGTATACCATGCATTGCAGCTATTGGCATATACTGTACTTGGTATTTTAATTATGAGACTGAAACTGTTTCTGACACCTCACTTATGTGTTATGGCTTCCTTGATTTGTTCAAAACAGGTAAGATGTTCTTTAACGCTGCAATTCTCTCAACCCTTAATGTTACCGTAACACATTGTTCTCTGAACTGTTATCCAAAATTATATAAACTGCTCTATTGTTCATAACTGCTGAATCTTTTAACTGTAATATTTATTAGTTAAAAGGAAAACACAAGTTAATTTTAAAAAATCAGCATTCCACTTATAGTATTAAAATTAAAACAAACACTTGGAATTGTGTAACTACAGCATAAGTCTGTCTTATTGTGCCTTGTACTGAGCTTAGTTATAGGACAGCACGTGTTACATTTTGTTTTTAACTATACATTTCATTGCTAGTGCTGGTTTTGTATCACTCTAATTTTATCAAAAATTAATGTTGGTGTATAATCACATTCCATTTTTCCCTGTTAGATTCATTGTCTACATATCAATTCTCAGTGGAAGTTTAGTTTTAGATAGGCTTGAATGTTGAAAGCATATTCTTGCTTTGAAATTGAACTGGGATGCAAAACAAAGATAAGATTTTTCTAGTTTTAAATCACCTATAATGGAAAAGCAGACCAGATTTCTCCAGATGTGGAATATTTGTTGGAACTGGCTATTCATACAAGTATTCTACATTTTTCAAGGGTGATCCTCACACCCAAAATACAGATTGAGTCTTTAGAACCACAGCTAAATATCTGTTAAATGCATTCTGCCTGATTGTCATTATGTACAGTACACACAGTACTGTAGTATACAACAATATTGTTTTTAAAGGTGTGGTCTAGCAATTTCCAGTGTACACCCTGTTTTCACTTGCTTATAACTTTGCCAAATTTTAACTGTTGAGATGAAATCTTCCATGCCCGAGTGTCTGTCTCAGGCTGAGTTTTTGAAAATTTTCGACCAAAAGAGTTCAGCTGTTTACAAGAAAAAGGCTAGGGGAAAATACATTTTGCCCATGTTCAAAAATTCTGGCAAGTTGTAGCACCGCCATGCATTGAAGCAGGGTATTGAAACGTGTCCATTTTGGGGCAGAGTTTGGGGATAAGCCTTTGTATCGGGGATAAGCCTTTTGCCGTCTGTCACTGAGGGGCTGCTGCTGCACCCTATCTTCAAGCATGCACTGCCACACCCAGTCTCAGTTAAGGAGATTTATTCTTTTATAACAAAGGTTAACAAACAAACAGAAGGCAGTCTTGAGTCAATACCTGGTCCACAGACTTCAGGGCCACCCCTTCCAGGGGTCTCTGGCTCTCTAGTTCCTGGCAACTTCTCTGCCTCCTCCAGCTCCTCTTGTTGCTGCAGCTATTGGGTTGCTCCTTAGATTTTAGCAGCAAATCTCCAAAGATTTCATCTTCACTGAGCATGCTTGAGCCTCTGTCAGTTCTTTGTGCTGACCAGAGTGCACACTCCCTCCCTCACAACTCGTGTGTGTGACTGGACTGCACGTGTGCCATTTCCACAGAACAACTAGACATGCCGCAGCTCCTCAAAGCTTCTGTATGTAACAGGATTGCACATACGCCAGCCCCACAGAGTGACAGAATATATTTCAGTGCGTGGTAGCAGGGGCAAAGCCAGACTTTCCCAGTAATGGCTGCTCCCAGTGCTCTGGGCTGGGCACTGGAACTAAGAATGGAGTGTCTGTGCACCTGTCCTATCAATGACCCCCTGTGGGCACTCAGGCAGTGTGGAGAAGGAAGCTGGTCTGATTCAAATGCAGAAGGGACAAAAGCCGGACTGGGGGTGGAAAGGAATAGGAGTCTGGGACTAAGGGTGGTGGAGGAAGAGCAACTATGACTGGGGGTTGGAAGGGAGAGACTGGGACTAAACCTTTGTGTGTGTGGCGGGGGGGTAATGGGCAGAGGTGATGGATCTGAAAAAGTGTTGGGGTGGAGGGGGAGAACTGGGATTTGCTGGGTGAAGAAACTGGGACTTGGATGTGAACCCTGAGTAATGGAGACAGGGACTAGGATAGACAAAGAGAATAGGACTAGAGCAAGGAGGTGGGGTGGGAAAGGGAAAGGTTGGAGCAGATAGGGCAGGAAAAGCATCAAGCTTGAGGGAAACAGGTAGAAGAGTCTGCCCATTAAAGCGCACACACTTCCAGAGCCTGGAATGGAACCCAAGTTTCCTGAATCTCACCATTCCACTGCTGTAAGCAAATCTATGTGAAACGTACTGGCAAAGTGTGTGTCTCCTCCCGCTCTAGTGCTGGTCTACATAGTGATTAACAACCTAACTATTTTTATCAGTTCCTCTCTTAGCTTAAGGGCCAGAGGTCTGTGTAGTGGATCTACATGTTCCAACCCTGCTGATGAACCATAGAATCATAGAATATAAGGGTTGGAAGGGACCCCAGAAGGTCATCTAGTCCAACCCCCTGCTCGAAGCAGGACCAATTCCCAGTTAAATCATCCCAGCCAGGGCTTTGTCAAGCCTGACCTTAAAAACCTCTAAGGAAGGAGATTCTACCACCTCCCTAGGTAACGCATTCCAGTGTTTCACCACCCTCTTAGTGAAAAAGTTTTTCCTAATATCCAATCTAAACCTCCCCCACTGGAGCTTGAGACCATTACTCCTCGTTCTGTCATCTGCTACCATTGAGAACAGTCTAGAGCCATCCTCTTTGGAACCCCCTTTCAGGTAGTTGAAAGCAGCTATCAAATCCCCCCTCATTCTTCTCTTCTGCAGGCTAAACAATCCCAGCTCCCTCAGCCTCTCCTCATAAGTCATGTATTCCAGACCCCTAATCATTTTTGTTGCCCTTCGCTGGACTCTCTCCAATTTATCCACATCCTTCTTGTAGTGTGGGGCCCAAAACTGGACACAGTACTCCAGATGAGGCCTCACCAATGTCAAATAGAGGGGAACGATCACGTCCCTCGATCTGCTCGCTATGTCCCTACTTATACATCCCAAAATGCCATTGGCCTTCTTGGCAACAAGGGCACACTGCTGACTCATATCCAGCTTCTCGTCCACTGTCACCCCTAGGTCCTTTTCCGCAGAACTGCTGCCTAGCCATTCGGTCCCTAGTCAGTAGCTGTGCATTGGGTTCTTCCGTCCTAAGTGCAGGACCCTGCACTTATCCTTATTGAACCTCATCAGATTTCTTTTGGCCCAATCCTCCAATTTGTCTAGGTCCTTCTGTATCCTATCCCTCCCCTCCAGCGTATCTACCACTCCTCCCAGTTTAGTATCATCCGCAAATTTGCTGAGAGTGCAATCCACACCATCCTCCAGATCATTTATGAAGATATTGAACAAAACCGGCCCCAGGACCGACCCCTGGGGCACTCCACTTGATACCGGCTGCCAACTAGACATGGAGCCATTGATCACTACCCGTTGAGCCCGACAATCTAGCCAGCTTTCTACCCACCTTATAGTGCATTCTTCCAGCCCATACTTCCTTAACTTGCTGACAAGAATACTGTGGGAGACCGTGTCAAAAGCTTTGCTAAAGTCAAGAAACAATACATCCACTGCTTTCCCTTCATCCACAGAACCAGTAATCTCATCATAAAAGGCGATTAGATTAGTCAGGCATGACCTTCCCTTGGTGAATCCATGCTGGCTGTTCCTGATCACTTTCCTCTCATGCAAGTGCTTCAGGATTGATTCTTTGAGGACCTGCTCCATGATTTTTCCAGGGACTGGTTTTCCAGAACCATGTGGGTGTCAGTATGGTATCACATTTGGAATATTTTTCAGTTTGTTTTTTTTAGGAAACCTAGGAAATTAAACAGTAAAAACTGTTAAAAGAACATAATTCAGGTTTCAAAGTCAGTCGCTCCATTAGGAAGTGCCAGTATTAAGGTTACTTATAATTTTAATTCAGCCCCATTGTGCACATGCATTATGATAGTCTTTTCTTTTTTGAGTGATTGCGCATGTCCATTCCACTTCAGGTGCGTGCGTGTCCAGTGCAGTTGTCAGAGATTTTTTCCCTCAGCAGTGCCTGTCAGGGCAGCACAGGTGGCTTCTGTTCCCTCATGCTGCTGTGCAATGGTATAAAGGGCGGCGCCATGCCCAACCCCATGAGACTTCTTACCATCTATGACGGTTGTTGGAGAGTGTGGTCTTACTATCACAAGTCTTTTCCTTGTTTTAGTAGTTTATAGTGTTAGGTAGTTATAGAATTACCTATTCTTGGGTACTGCTACCTCAGCCGGGGCATGACTCAGTCCTTAAGCCCTGCCATTCCAGTGAGTGACCCACACTCCAGTTGCCTGAAGTGTCTTGGGAAGACTTAGGTCCATGTTTTGGTGCCTACCTTGCAGGGATTTTGAGCCAAGAAGGACAGGGAGGCCAAGTTTCTGCTGATGGAGGTAGCCCTACATTCATCCTCGGAGCCGTCTCGCTCATAGTGGGTACCAAACACATCTGCATGCATCAGAAGTGCTTCTCGTCATCTTGCTAATTCTTGGGTCCATACTCCTCCAGTACTGAGAGAGAGTCACAGGAAGATGGCATCTAATATCAACAGGGCTGGTGCCAGAGTCAATGGTCTTGCCTGAGCAGATGACTGCTTTGGAGAGTGCAGTGTCTCAGCGTCTCGAGATGATGCCAAGTTTGAACATGTGGTCCTTCAATCTGAGGGTGGGATCGGAGTCTTCCTGAATAAAGATTGAACTGTATGTGAGTCACCAGAAGTGGAATGCACATGTGCAATCGCTCAAAGAAGAAACAAGTTACTAACCTGTTCCATAACTGTTGTTCTTCGAGACGTGTTGAATGTGTCCGTTCCGCCACCAGCCCTTCTGTATCGGAGTCTGACTGGTAAGGACTTGGGGAGAGTTTGGAGCAGTTCCACACTTTATACCATCACGCAGCAGCATGAGAGTAGCAGAGGGCATGTGTGCCACCCCAACAGATACTGCTGAGGGAAAAATCTCTAACAGCTGTGCACTGGGCATGCATGCACCTGAAGTGGAATGGGCATGTGCCACACATCTCAAAGAACAGTAGTTATGGAAGAGGTTAGTAAATGTTCCTTATTATGTGACCACTTTTTGTGTTCTT